GTTTGTATCTAGGACTAGGACAAGGACCAAGAGGTCAGAGAAGGAATGTTTGTATTGTCGCAGGTAAAATATTCACTGACAGGTGATAAGTTGTCCTTGTCCCTTATTACTTGCTTCAGTAAGTTCGCTCCAGATCTTAAAAGGTTCTTCAGGTTTCACTCATGTGATGCAACACAAGCAGGCAGAAGAACACTTGTTGCTTTGGGGGTGGGGGGGTGGGAGGGGGCTGTTTCTTAGTAGAAGTGGATTGATTCTCCCTCTATGCAAGGATTTTGATATGATGACAATGCTTTGCGCTCTCTCTCTTACTCACACTCTCTCACACACAGACAGAGAGATAGCAAAGGTACATGGCTTTGCAGATTGGGTCCAGGCTGTTGGTAATACAACATATCATTCTATGAACCTGACTTTTGAGATCTTTTCAAGAAGGTTTTCCCTTGTCCTTAGATTTTGCCTCATCCCAAGTACATTTGGTGAAAACAAGTGAGAGAGCCTTTTTGGTGGCTGCTCCTAACTTTGTGGCATTTCCTCCCACAGAAGGCTCAGGCCCCATCTACATTGTCATATAATTTAGTTTCTGAGTCCAGATTCTTCGCTGAACTGGATTAGCGTAGACTTGTATAATCCAGTTCGAAGCAGATAATCTGGATTCGGGAACTGGATTATATGGCAATGTAGATCCCGCTTCAGTTGCCCCCCCTCCCCGCCCCCCCCCCCCCAAAAAGCAGGCAAAGACTAGTAAGTATTTGATATTTAGGTGATTGTGACAGAAGGATCTCTTTCACAGGGTATATTATGACTTTATTTTTTACTGTATTTTAATGTGCTTTCAATTGTTGTATTTAGTTTTTGTTTCTACCAGAATTGCTTATTTAACATATGTATTGAATAGGTTTTTAGTGCACTTTATTTTGATCTCCATGTGAGTTTCCTTAGATACCAATCCAGGACCTTGCTGATTTTTTTTCTGTTTTCTTTTGAAGTGATGTTTAGTTTTATAGTACACATACATATATGGGTGTAGGTCCAGTCATATGACATTAAGAAACGGCTTGATTGTGAGTCAGACCACGAGTTCAGTATTTTCAACTTCAAAGTGCCAGAAAGGATTTTCTTCTATTTCCACCTGGAGATGCCAAAGATTAAATCTGCAACCATCAATGAGCAAGGCATGCTTTCCTATAACTGAGTTACAAGTCTTCCATCAGTTTGTTCATTTGCACAGTCAAGATCCATGGACAGATCTTATGTTTGCAGATTTTGGGGCCTTTTCTATTGCCCTTCATTTCTATTTTTGTAGCATTCCAGCATCAAAATCAGATCTCATTATGAAGACATTCTAAAAATTGGCCTACTTGAGATTAAATTGGCAGATAAGACACGACCAAAAAATAAAAAAAAATAGATTATATATCTGACCAGGTTTAAGACCAAGACCAGAGCTTTCTGCTGGTGAAATAAATGCTTTCCAGTTTGTTTTTCTTTTTTTAATGATTTTTTAAAAAAAAAAAACCAAAGAAAAAACAAACAAACAACAACAACAACAATCTCCCTGCACACCTAACTCCATTATCTTCACTGACCTATAATTAAAGTTACTACAGCCTTAGAAAACCAGGACATGTATTTGCCCTCATTCAAATTAAAATCCTTAAATGTGCACAAAAGGCCATGTCTACTTGGCTGCAGGTTAACTCTGTACTTAGGAGAATATAATCCCCTGCTTAACTGGCAGTCAGTTGAGAATTAATTTTCTGGTACTGTGTTAAATCTGCAGTAATGCTTTGTTCTTATTCAGATATGCAGTATTTTAAACATTAGTGTGAACGGCCTTGAAGTGCATGAAAACAGTATCAAAGAGGTTTAATTATAATTTTAATATCCAAGTAGCAAAAGTATAAAGTATTCCTTCTGAATTAAGTGCAGCTTATTGCTTTGTAGGTATGTACTCTCAGGGTTTTTTTCTGTACCGTTTGTGAACTTGATCTACAATCCTTCTTTTTAAAAATGGCAATAATTCTCAAAAGTTTCCTTATAAGGAGACCGGAGGACCTTCTCCAAAGCATGGTCATCTCTAGCCTCTACTGTATTTTGAGTATTTTTGGTAGTTTTTAGTTAATTTTAATTAAAAGGTTAATTTGTAGTTTAATAATTAAAACATTTTCTTTATTTTTATTTATTTAGCTCCATAGTAATGCTCAGAGCCCTTGGGATAGAGGTCCCATTACCTTATCTGCTGTGTGACACATCCCTGGGTAGGGTATGCAGTTGCCATTGGTAGTGCCCACCAGTTGAATCCTCCTGGATTTACCCCCTTGCACCACTATTCCCAGGAACTAATTAGAAAGCCTATTTTTAGCAGAGTTAATCACACAGGGCAATTATCAGTCCCAATAACTGCCCCTGGTCTTCCATCTTGGAAATTTTTGTGATTTGTTTCTGAAAAGCATCATCTGGTGCACTCAGGTGCCTAATCATATTCAAGCTGTTTTATTGAGAGCAAACAGGCTAAACCCAGTCAGTCTGGTTTAACTAATTTGTGGAAGTGGCTATCTCTTCTGCCAATGCCATTCCTCTTGCAGGAGCTCCTCCCAGCAGAAAGTGCTGAGCAAAAGCATTCTTCTTGGGTTGCTGTGAGTTTTCTTGGCTGTATGGGCATGTTCCAGAAGCATTCTCTCCTGACATTTCACTTGCTATATTTTTAAGTTGTCGAAGCCTGCTGTCCTCTGACTTGATGATTACACACCGAAGTAGCCATACAGAAATAAGACAAAGTCGGGTAGTGAGAGCGTTCCCAATGAATTGCCCTTTCTTTGTGGTCGTCCTGCTTGAAAGTATAAACTGGGCTCTGGAGGCTTGTCCAGAGTTAGGTAGTAATACACTCTTTTTAAGGAATTACTTTGGTAATGGGTCATTTCTCAAAAATACAACTACCTCTGAGGATGCTTGCCATAGATGCAGGCGAAACGCCAGGAGAGAATGCCTCTAGACCATGGCCATATAGCCCGAAAAAACCTACAACAACCCAGTGATTCTGGCCATGAAAGCCTTTGACAATACATAGAACTGGAATAGTTTGTCTGCCTTTTATTGAGTGTGTGTCCTTACTGTCTCTGAACAATGGAAAGAAGAGAAAAAAGGGACACTTGGGTAGCTATCTTGTGCTTCCTCCAGAAATGGTTGCTTTGTAGTATCTGTTGGGATTTCTCAGAATTTTTAAGGTGCAACATCTGAATTGTGCCCTCAATGAAGACAAAATAATTTTATTTGTATTTTCCAATGGCACAATAGTAGCAGTGCCAGTGTTTTGTTAGTAATGACCACATCAATAATAACTATAATAACAATAACCTGTTATTACGCACTGAGTTACCCAAGGAGCCCCCGGTGGCGCAGTGGATTAAACCCTTGTGCCGGCAGGACTGAAGACCGACAGGTCGCAGGTTCGAATCCAGGGAGAGGCGGATGAGCTCCCTCTATCAGCTCCAGCTCCTCATGCGGGGACATGAGAGAAGCCTCCCACAAGGATGAAAAAAAATCATCTGGCGTCCCCTGGGCAATGTTCTGTCAGACGGCCAATTCTCTCACACCAGAAGTGACTTGCAGTTTCTCAGGTCGCTCCTGACACGACAAAAAAAACAAAACAAAACCCACTGAGTAATAAGAATAATGGCTTCAGTATCTTATTTCTTTTGAAAAGAAACATTTAAAGCATTGGGATTGTCCGTATGTTAACTGCTGCTGTTGCTATGATGACAAAAAGCCAAGAAAGTGAATACTGTGTTACAGAGTAATTGCACATTATGGAAGGTAGATGGGCATTGAGTGGATATTCCCTTCTCCTTTCTATGCATTCCTTCTGCCATTCTGCACTGTAATGGGTGTTTTGATGGCTGTCCTCAAGGCCCTTAAAGAAGACAGTTTCTTCTAGATACTAAAACCGTTTGATCTGGGTGGATTCTTTTGTATTTTCTGAGTTTCTCAACCAATGCATGTTCACCAAAGTGCAGGTGGAGATCTGCTTATTGACAGACCCAAAAGTTATGACAAAGTTTGATGATCTGTAAAGTAAAAAACAATATCTAGTAAGATAAAAAATTAATTTTATGTTTATGATCTCAATAAAACTATTGAAGATTGGAATGGATATAAACAAAAGTGTTGATCTATACTGCGTTATAGAATTCCTTAAAACTGACTGTTGTGCATGGTATCAACATAGGGGACATTATGGGAGGATAGAAAACTAAATGACTGCTCCCTTCAGAAATGAGAGAATACAGCTGTCTTCCTTGATGAAGAAGGAAGCAACTCCAGTATGCAGGAGAGAAAGAAAAGGCCCACATATACAGGTCTCTGAACAAGGAAAGAAGAACACCAAGGACAATCTATCTTTCCATTGCACTCTGCCACTGATCCATAAGTTGATGTTTTGTGCTAGCAGCAATGGTCTCAGCTACCACAAATGTACACTATGACTCTCATATCTGTTGGATGTACGGTTCCAGATTTCACGTGGATATTCTAAACCATGGATAACAGTTCACCATATTGAAAGGAACAATGCCTGGCCCAGAAATACCACAGAGTCACACTGAAGGACATAAAATGTGTAAAACAGATATATTTTTCCAGTCCTGTGGATGGGAGGAATTGTGCTGTACAAAAACTGCCTCGTTGATCTGCTTAGTTATATCTTGTCTTCTGTGATGGGTAACAGCTTTCCAAAATCTCATACAGACACAACTTTCAGTTCTGTTGTTTGCCTCTATGCTGAGGCTGGATTACAACTCCCATCATGCCTAGTCACCACAGTTCCAGCTTGTGGAAGCCTTCTTCAAACCCTTTAATAAGAAAATGCAAAGATTTTACATCTCTTTCTGCTGTTGGGGCCATAGTTTGCCGAGACAATGTCTAGTATAGCTTTCAGTGTTATTAATGATTTTTCTTTAAAACTAAATTATATTACAATTTTTCTTTTTTCTTCTTCTTTGCAGAACAAAGGAAGAAATATTCCAACTCCAACGTCATTATGCATGAGACCTCGCAGTATCATGTGCAAGTGAGTCAAAAACTCTCACATTAACATAGCCATAAAATTGCATAAATTAGAAACGGTGTTGCTATTACACAATGTATATCTGAACATTGCTCCTTCAAATGGCTTCTTTATAACCATATTACTCAACGGAGCCTGTAATTTGCCACTTTAATATGCTGGTGATATTGAAAGCTGGTAATAATTTTTGATCTTTGTCCTCCTCTCATTTTCCCTCATATTCAGAACAAATATACATTGATTTCCTAGTCCTAGCACCCTAACAGAGATTGTCACGCCCTACAATGACTCTGAAACCCACCTTAAAAGGCAGTCAGCCAACCAGTGATGGGGGTCTTGTCCTGCTGCTGCTGGGCCGTGTGTTGCAGGATGACTTGATCAGCCTCCTCCTGCAAGTGAGCAACACTGCAAAGAGCAGAAGCAGGGACCTCTGTAGTCATAACTGTTTACCACAGTATTGCTTGCCAGTGAGAGGAGGTTAATTATGTCATCCTTTAACATCAGGCTTGGACACCAATCTATCCGAATGGCTGATTGACTCTTAAAGCCAGGTTTTAGGAGCTAGTTGAGGAGTTACAATCTAATCACATTTAGAGGGGGAAAGCGTATGGAGTGTTACCCTATTCCCTCCCATATGTCCCCACCATTTTCTGTCTTAACCCATCTTTTTCCCACTGTCCCCCACATTCATCATTCAGGAGTCAGGTAAGACTAAATTCCTGAAGACGGGATTTGGGCGCTTTTTCCATGTGCTGCAGAAACAGAGCCCACAGAGTCCCACTAGAAGTGCTCTTATGTCATCTGATGGCCTCCGTGAGACCCCCATGGGGCTCCATTTTTGCAGCACATGGAAACAGACCAAAGACCACCTGATGAGGCCCAAAGTGTTGCTACAGCATCATGATTATGTGTTTGGTTCAAGATCTCAGCCTAAAGGGGGAATTTAGTGTGACACTGAAAGTATTATGAGTATTATTTAATATCATTTTTTACTTGAATCAACTTCCTGGACTCAGAATACTATAATTCTATATTTTCCACTGAACTATGGTTGGAGAATCTGAGTTGCCAGCCTGTTTGTAGTTGGACTATAGAATTTTCTTTTCGGTTTTAGTACTTGGCTCTTGATTTTCTACTCATGCTCGTGTGTGTGTGTGTGATGGGATGTGTATGAATACTTGTTTGCCAGTTAGGACCGCTTTCTGTCATCCTGCTCCCAATCTCCTCTGTCCTGTGTTTTGAAGGTTTTGTTGATGCTTCTGAGATTCTCCTAAATCTTCGTGTATAATACGTATAAAACTTGTTGCAATCATTCCTCTTGAGAAGAAGGCTGACTCTATACTGCCATATTATCCTATTCAGTGTAGTGATCTGCATTCAGAAATTGGATTATATGGTTGTGTTGTTGGGACGAAGTTAGTTTGGTTGGCAATAATAGCTCATCAAGGGCTTCCTCCAGCCTTTTGAGAACCAAGGCTTAATATTAAATATTAAGTGCATCAAATATACTGTTTGTTTGCTTTTAACAAATAAAAATGCATTACCTGCCTCAGTTGATCATTATCAAAGTTGTCAAGGACAGAAAATTGAACTCTTCCTGTGATTTATTTGTGAAGGCAATCCTTCTTCTTAACATGATATGAGCTTTGGGTGGGGCTGGGAAAGAACTAAGTTTGGGTTAATTATTGTCCCTATCTCTCCATCTGATACTCTGCATTTCTTTAAAACCAGCATGTGAGATGCAAGAATTCATTTGACTTTACATCTGTCTTGTCTTGACCCTCTCTAAATTAGAGAAGAGCAAAGTTTGGCCCTGAGGTTGCAGATGGCCCCCAAGACCATTTTGCAACCCTCGATCTCTCCAGGTTGTTTAGATAGACTGTCCTGTTTCTGGTCCAATGCAAAGATGCACACTTATCTGAACTGCTTTTTCTGGAATCCTCTGAAAGTGACACTTTTTAAATAGGTTTTAGCTCTCCTACAATATTAACATATAAATATTTTTCCCCAAATGAGAAATGGGCTTCTGGCCATTTTTTATGTTGCGTTTATGGTTTTGCATTTTTGGCGATTCATATGGCCTCAGGAGGCTCCCAAGGCTAGGGAAAATGGCCCTTGGAGTCTCCCGCCCCTGCTTTAAAATGATTCTCCTGGAAATAAATGACATTCTAGACCAGGAGAGGGGAACTGGTTTGCATTTGTAGGCCACTTCCCCACTCTTTCAAGTATGTACAGGACAGAGGATGCTGAAGGATATGTCAAGCACCTGACCTTACAGGTGAATGTGACTATAGTCTAGACTAGAGCTTCCAGCATAGAATTTGACTTTTATTCTTTCCTTGCCTTCATGTACAGGAATGTGGAGTGAAGCCAAGTGACAGATATTCCTGAGCACTAGCTGCTGCCAACCTTTGGTCCTGGGGAGTTTGCTCCCCTTCCAAATATAGATGAGAGTGCAGGTGGGCAAAGCAGCCTGAACTTCAAACACCAGGTGCATTAATAGTCCTGTGCCTGGCACCTGGGTCTTGGGAGCTTGGTAACTCCATATTCCCCATTCAGAGAACAGTAGCAAGGAAGACTCTTCTTTTTTAGTTCTGATCAGTAGTCAGCTATTTTTTAACAAAGGAAGATTCTCCCCTCTGTTTTGTTCCTGATTAGAAAGGTGAGGGGAATAGGAAATCCCTGGCCATGGGATTTAGGGAGGGGTAGACATTTCCCAAATCTTTCCTGGGTCAGTCTATGCAAAGTCTGCAACTCTCTAAAGCCCTATCCCCAGGGATTCCCTATTTCCCTCACTTTCCTAAGCAGGAACTATGCAGAGTAGAGAATTTAAAAACAGTAAGAAGCAAGTAGGTCATTCATAAATTGAGTCTGGCTTCGCGTATAATGTTTCCCAAGGTTTTAGAAATATGTAAAGGGGCATTTGGGTTATCAAGTGAAAACTCCAGACTTTTCAGGATCTTGTGGTACCAGAGGAAGAGGATTCTCGTAAGCAAACAAGGGTGCTGTTATAAAAATAGCCCTAGTTTATGGTACTAAGCTTGATACCTTTCTGATTACCCACAGCTGCACAGAGAATGCCATTCAAATAAAAATGCCATCTTGCAAATCAGGAACACAAGAGAGACCTATTTTCCAAGCAGTGCTCTTGCCCTGAGATTCTTCATCCTAAGGATTGAAGATGGTCTAGACCCTGACCTTTGTCAACCCTAAAGAGTAGGCCAAGATTAGCAGTTTTGTTCCTATCTCCTGTTCGATGTTTGTTCTCCATGGGTGAACACATGAGCACTCCTCATATGAGGATTTCATGTTTCAGTGCCATATTTCACCACATAATAGTAGCATTTTATGCCTCTTTTTGCTGGAAATAAGGAAGGTATGACTTCTTCTATTGAGTTGTCCTGCCTCCGAGAGATGAAGAGGAGCAAGGAGTTTTTTTCAAAACTGTTTTTCCTCCCAAATGGGAGGAGGAAGGTGAGGGAGCAAGAACTCTGGCTTTTTTTTTCAAACCGTCTGTGACAATTACACTCAAATTTGGGACCCAAAAAAGGGGGCGCGATGATTATACAGTAATGACTACATATTCAACAGTGAAATATAGTAATCTCCTGTCTAAATCAACTGAACTATCTTTTGGGATGGTAGATAACACAGCATCCAGGGAGGTTGAAGCTTGTACCCTCTGTTTATGAAAATCCAATACTTGGACAAATCCTCTGCAAAACTGCAAAATACAATGCCTGATGGTCCTTCTGCTGGACTTTATTCCCTCCAGCAATCAAAAAGCATTTCACATACTGTTAATTACAGTTGCTTGGCTGTGAGCTGATCTTTCACCTTGAACTTTGGTCAAAGTAAATGTGATCTCTCTCAGACTGGCAGCACCGAGTTTCATAAGAGGGTCATTCATATATTATTCACACACAGCAATATGCCAATAATTGTTGTGTTATTAATCCTCATACATTTTGTATCTTACTCTGTGTGTAGGCAAGCTTGTTGTACTTTAAAAATTATTTCTCAGTTTTCAGTTTCTATACTGTAGCCTCTGTCTGGAAAGAATCTCAAAGCAGTTGACATATCAATAAAAACGAGATGACAAAAGGAAAAGGGGGGATAGGAAGACACAATGGAGGAGAAATCTAGTTTTTAATATATAAAGTTCATACACTAACCAACTTAAAATGCTGACAAGTTATAAAGCAGACAGGTGTTTTTCTGAGAGCCTTTCCAGACAGACACTATATCCCAGGATCTGATCCCAGGTTTTCTACATTAAACTGGATTATAATCTGGGATAAATGGAAAATCTGGGATCAGATCCAGGGATATAGGGTCTGGATCTGATCCCAGGTTTTCTGTTTATCCCAGATTATCTGGCAGTGGGGACTCATATAATCCAGTTTAATGCAGAAAACCTGGGAAGGGCCCTTAGATTAAATCAAATAGTAACTATCTTGCTTTAATGAACCCATTCATAACGCTAGCAGATGCAAACAGCAGCCCCATATCCAAACTTGGACATGTTACCTTTTTGGACTCTAGCTATTGTGGCTCTGTAATGCATAAGTGCTGTTCATGTTCAAAATCACTGTGGACCATCAATAACTATAGAACAATCCCAAGAGTCCTAATTTTGTTATCAGAGTTAATGGTTAGCTGCAATATCATTACACCTTCATGTTTTGTTCCTTCCAATTCTCCTCCTTAATTGCTCTGATTCCTGAAAGTTAGTCCTTTACATCAGAGAGATAATGCAGTGGGTTCTTGATATCTGCCGTGGTTTGGTTTCTGGACACTCTGTGGATACTAAAATCTATGGATGCTCAAGTCACATTATACACAACAGCATAGCAAAATGATGTCCCTTATATAAAATGAGAAAATCAAAGTTTGCTTTTCAGATTGTTTTCAAGCCATGGATGGCTGATTCCATGGATGCAGAATCAGTGGATATGGAAGACTGGACAAATATGGGTTAGGTGACTAGATGAGCAGAATTCAGCGGGCTGTTGATAGTGTGGCCTTTCTTTTCTCAAACAGAAAGATGAGGAAGTACAAAATTGAATTCCTGGAGAAGAATGACCAAAAGGGAATCCAGGAGACTGTACTGCTTTTACAACAGACATCATGTCATGACTGAGTCGTATAATGGAAAAACGTGACTGTGTGCTTCTTCTGGAGTTAGATACATTTCCCTCTGCTGGATGGTAGAAACCACAGGGAAAGAACTATGTGATTTTTATTGAGGCTGGAAATAACTGTTTTGCATGGCAGCAATGAAAGAGAGAGAGATAAAGGGAAAGAGCGGCCTTTGACAAGTGTCTCCTTGAATTTCCCAGTATTGCTGTGTTGTCTTTTTCAGAGTGCTACATGTTATCGCTATAAGCCATACAAAAATAGCCCATTCATGCAAACCTCAGGGCTGAGATAGCATGAATGCCTTGATATGGCTGCTGGGTGTTTTCTTAACCAGGGCAACAGGTTTAGGGCTGTGCTGGGAATGAATACAAGTGTAATCATGCTTAGCTAGCTTTCTGCTCCCTGTAGAATGCTGCATTTCTAGCTCTGACCTCAAGACAGCCATTCAACAATGCAGTGTGGAAAGCTGAAACTAAGGAGGCTCATCATACATGTTTCCTTAAAGCCTAAGAATGTTGTAAATAGGCATCATTATTGGCCAGGCAGGTCAGGGAGCCAGGGCCAAGAGCCTGGGGTTAGTGTTAAGATTATTGTTAAATCTTATTTCATTGTTGGCCCAGTTTCACCTCTCTTTGTGGAATATAATATGAAATTACTGGCTGCTTATATGTCCATTGACATAACAAAACGTAAGAGAGCAGGCTGGTAGGGAACATGATTATTATGACATTTACTTATACCTGCCTTTTCCCCAGTCAAAGACTCAGAGCACCTTTCAAAGGTTGAAAGAAATACAGATACAACTATTAATTCCATATTATACAAAATTCAAAGTATAATTAAATTAGTAATAGAATTATAATCAGCTACAGGCAAGACCATTAAAAAGAAAATAACCAACATACAGTACAGTGCATTCTGAAGCATGCTTTTCTCCCTGAGAATCAGTCATCAAAGACAAGGTGAAACAAAAAGCTTTTCACCTGCCTATGAAAGGATAGCAGGGAACAGGTCAGGCTAGTCTCTCTAGAAAGGGAGTTCCAGAGTCTGGGAGGAACTGCTGGAGTGAGAAGCCCTCTCTGTGTTTCCTGTGCTTTTGGAGGCTGGTGGGACAGAAACAATATTTCAAAACACAGGCAGGCTATCGTAATAGAATACGGTCCTTCAGATAAAAATGGACCTGCATTGTTTAAGAGACTGCTAAGAGTGTGTTTATAACAATATGATAGAATTGAAAGTGACTCACCACCACATTTGCAGCTTACAAAAGTTAAAACAGATACAGATTTTATTTATTTATTTATTTGCAACATTTTTATCCCATCTTTCTCAGCCTGAAGGCGACTCAGGGCAGCATACAGGTTGGCAACGATTAGATGCCACAACATACATACACACATATCAATTAAAACATTTAATATCACATAATAAAATCCATATAAAACTATTAAAACTATAATCATCAATGTCTTCCAGTTCATTTTGGGAAATACCTTTAAAGTTTACATTAACTCTCAGGCCCGATTCACTGTCTTTCCAGCATGGAATGCACCAGCCACTGCCATCCCTCATGACAAGCTTGTGGCCTCTCCAACTTTAATGAGTACTGTGCAATGTAAGTTTTCATTGTGGATTTCCCCCCTTCTAGCATTTAGCCACCTTCATCATGGATAAAAGTGAAGCCATTGTGACAGTGGATGATGCCATCAGGAAGCTGAAACAGCTTAACTCCAAAGAGAAGATCTGGGCACAAGAGATGCTGTTGCAGGTGAACGACAAATCTATTCGACTGCTGGACTGTGAAACTCAGGTGAGCAGCAAACCATCTCCTTCAGAAGGTAGAGCAGTGGCTTTCAATCTGTGGGTCCCCAGATGTTTTAGTCTCCAACTCCCAAAAATTCTAACAGCTGGTAAACTGGCTGGGATTTCTCCGAGTTGTAGGTCAAAACACTTGGGGACCTACAGGTTGAGAATCACTGAGATAGAAGAAGTACAGTATGCAATGCCTGCCTATAGTTAAGAAATCCACTGCATACTTTTTCTCATTCAGCTAAATAACCACAGCAGGTTTCTACAAGGGTTTTAAGCTGGACCAAATTAATGCAACCATAACAAAAAACGAAAAGTAGATTGATTTCAGTATGTGTACGTGTGGGACAAGTCTGTTGCCTGTGCTATTTCTGTCCCTACAAAGGGCTGACCTAATCAAGCCAGCAGATGAATTAGATGTTAATGGAAATACATTCTGCTCCACAAAAGCACTTTGTGCCGGGTTATTGGCATTAGAATGGTATTAAGAGGCGTAGACTATATTTGGAGTGTCGCTTGGAAATACTTGATTGGAAGGATTTTTGTAAAGTAGCAGAAGAGGTGGGTGGTTAATTCTGTTTTTCCAAACATGGCCTTGCATAGTTTTGTTGTTTAATTAAGAACAAAACACTGGTACTCTGATATGGCAAGCTAAAGATAAAACAAGTTACGGGAAAATAAGTCAGGCTTATTAAATGAGGTGGAAGTATTTGGTCTGGATTACTAAATCACATCACCACCTCCTAGTCAAAGAAGTCTTGTGGAAAATCTTCTTCTGGAATTAAGGTTGTGTTTCTAGCTGTGAACTTAACTGTGTAGCCTCCCTTCAATCTGCCTTCCAAATCAGTTTGATTTGGGAATGGCAATCCATCGCAACCAGATACCAGAATGTATTTTTTCATTTAGACAAGCTATTTGGCTGTATTTTACAGAAGGAGAAGTAATGGATAGGGTTAACGAATTTACTGTGTGCTATTTCCCATTCAGAGATATTAAAACAAACTAAATTACGTGAGATTACAGCATGGGATGGAAGTGGAATGGAGCAGTTTTGTGCATCTCCTTACGAAAATGTTGCCTCTGCTTTGCATCACTGTGAAGCATCCAGAAGGCTAATTTTTGCCAGGAATCATTTGGACCATCTTCCTCATAAGAGCATAGCAGATCCTATTCAAAGTAAAAGTGTGAGGGAATGAAATGCCATTGTATCAATTGTCTCCTTCCTGAAATATGATGTTGTTTGCTTTATATTGTTTTATGATGTTGTCTTATGAATTTTACTGTGCTGTATTTTAAATCATGTTGATAGGGCTTACAGCTGCCCCAAGTCCCTTCGGGGAGTTGGAGGCGGGATACAAAAATAAAATTGTTGTTGTTGTTGTTGTTGTTGTTGTTGTTGTTATTTTACTACTACTACTACTACTACTACTACTACTACTACTACTACTACAATGATCGAATTGCCACCCAAAATTGTTTTCAGCCCCTTGTTCATGTTGCCTTTCAGGAAGAGCTAGAAGACTTCCTTCTGCCAACAGTCCAGCATTGCCAAACTGTGCTGAATCAGATGCGGTACTCATCCATACTCCTGCTGGTGTGTCAGGATTCGGAGCAGCACAAGCCTGACATTCATTTCTTTAACTGCGATGAGGTGGAGGTAAACAGAGATCATCTAAGCTCACTGGGTGGTAAGGGAGGAAAGGGAGGAAACATTCTTCTGTCAGCAAAGCTCTGGCTAAAATGGAGATCCCTTCTGCTTGCCCAGAATGTCTGTCATGGGTCCTGCAAGAAGGGTCCAGCAAAGCTTATGTGGGCATTTTGTGCAGATTGCTACAGAAGGATTTCTCAGTCTGTGAGATGGGTAAATTGTGGGCCAAAAGCCGCATATGGCACCCAGGGCTGATTTGGCACATATGGCACCCACACTCATCCCTCTCTCCAATTTTCAAAAGGCAAATTTTTACTTTGAAATGTCTTCAAATAATTTTTTTAAGTTATGGAGGGCCCCCCTGGACTCCCGAGAAGTTTTTAAAAAACCAACTTTTCAAAGGCCAAAAATGTCTTTTAGGGAACTCACAAAGCTTTTTAGGGAACCCAGAATACCCCTTGACCTCTAGATGGTCTTTGGGGGCAAGAATTTTGACTTTATAATGGGAGGGAACAGAATAGGGGGATGTAGCCTTCCAAGGTCCCTGTGAGATTAATATTGTCCCTTAGACTTCCTCTGAAGCTTTGTAAGTAAACTCAAAAGAATAAGGGATTTTAATCCCTAATTGGAGAACATATCTTGCAAGTACATATTTTTTACTTTTATATTACTCTGTCAATAATTTTGTAAGTACTATAAATAGCCATATGTAATGGAGATGTTGTAGGCACATATTTGTCTCTGTTTCTCCTATGCTATGTAATATATAACCATGAAGTAAAAATACACAAATCTGATGGCTGCTAGAGGTTGAAGGTCCAAATTTAATGTGACAGGAAACTGATACAATGCACCATTGAATGTATGACTTGCCAGTCCACAACATTTGGGAATTCTTACTCTGTAGTCATATAATATTGTTTTCAGTGTATTTGTAGCTTTAATATTTTTGATATACCAGATATTTTCATGTTGCTGCCGGAGTGATTTCCCCAAAAGGAAAATATATGCTTATGTGCATCTCCGAATTGCCTACTAACTTATAGTGACCCCATAAACTTTATAGGATTTTTTTAGACAAGGAATATTCTGAGATCCTTTTTCTGAAATAGAGCCAACATTCAAGAACTAATCAGGGACGACTGTGTTTAGCTTCAAAGATCAGATGGGATCTGGTACTTTTAGGGCAGGTTTCCCAAACTAGGGCAATGGGCCAGATGTGACCCTCCAAGGTCATTAACCTAGACCCTACCCTAAACTTTAGATTTAGGGTCACCCAAAGTCTGAAATGATATGAAGGTACACAACAACAACAATCCCAATTAACTTGACTATCTCATCACCCAAAAGCAATCCCACACTTACCATTGAAACACAGTTAAAGTTTATGATGGTTAAAACTGTTCTTCATTTTAAATATTGTGTTATTCTTTCTTTTTTGCACTACAAATAAGATATGTGCAGTGTGCATAGAAATCTGTTCCAAGCTTTTTTGAACCACAGTCCGTCCCCCCAAAAGTTTGAGGGACCATGAACCAGCCCTTGACTTACAAGATTTGAGAACCCCTGATTTAGGGTATTTGAGCCACAAAAGTATATGCATGAGAAGAGTATAAAAAGAGCCAGGTTCTTATATTATAAAAAAGAAAACCGTTTCTCTGTCCACTTTCTCCACATCACACATCTCCACACCTGTGTTACACCCATCCATTCTCAGTCCCAGACACTGTAGGGAGCACACAATGTGTGTGCGCATGTTTGTATTTCCTTCAGCTTGAAATACTAAGAACTGAGACAATAACCTTTCAAAATAACATTGCAAAGTTGCTCCTAGGTTGTAAAGAGGGGAAGAGGAATTGATGGCATTGCAAAATGCCAGCGAACCAGCGCCCTCCAGAGGCAGATTTTCTCCTGTTGTCTGTCATTCATTGTATATTTTCTGCATGAGCTCTAAAACATGAAAGCTTCACAGCTTTTCTTTACATGAGTCTAGAGCAAGGGTCCTCAAACTAAGGCCCGGGGGCCAGATGCAGCCCTCTAAGGTCATTTACCTGGCCCTCGCTCAGGGTCAACCTAAATCTGAAATGACTTGAAAGCACACAACAACAATAACAACAACAACAACAAAACAACAATCCTATCTTATCAGCCAAAAGTAGACCCACACTTCCCATTGAAATACTAATAAGTTTATATTTGTTAAGATTGTTCTACATTTTAATTATTGTATTATTTTTAAGTGTTTTTTGCACTACAAATAAGATATGTGTAACATGCATAGGAATTCATTCATGTTTTTTTCAAATTATAATCCGGCCCTCCAGCAGTTTGAGGGACTGTGACCTGGCCCTCTGTTTAAAAAGTTTGGGGACCCCTGGTCTAGAGGCAAACCCATCTACAAAATACTTTTAGCACCTCTCTAATAGTGTGGTCCAATGAAATTGAATTCCCTGAAACACATTGTGCCTGCTTTTAAACTAAAATTATTCTTTCTAACCATGAAAGGAAGGTATGTGTTGTATAATACGTCACATTGCTTGAAAGCAGCTTGTGTTTGTAAGGCAGAATAATCATTTGCATCTTTACATTTGTCTCTTTTCTGCTACCTGTCTTTTCCATTTCTCAGACCTCTCTGATTTTTGTTTCCTTTTCTTTAGGCAGAGATGGTTCACGAGGATATAGAAAGTGCACTTGCTGACCATAAATTTGGGAAGAAGGTACGACCGCAGACACTCAAGTAAGTGGCTGCTGGAGACAGGTAGTCTCTACCTTGTGGGAAGAGGCATTGCCAATTGCAACACAGCATAGAAGTCTCCTAGGCTCATGATCCACCCTGACTTTAATTTTCCGATCCATGTGTGAGTTATTGAAGGTTTAGATGTGCATTTACAGATGAGCTCATTAGAATTAATGGCAAGCAAAATTATACACAAAGCTATGCAATCTGAAATTGTTTGAATGAGAAAAGCAAAATAAAAGGAAGGTGTGGCATGAATTTCCAATGGCTGCCGAAACAGCTCTTTGCCCCAGAGATTTATCCTTGATATATTCTAATCTGAAAGACATGAGTCATCCTCAGGGGTCCCAATAACAGAGACAACAGCAACTCTCATATAGCAACGTCATGTACTTGAATCAGTTGTCTGATGTCATTGAACCAAATGTCATGATCCATGCGTGCTTTCTCACTTCTGCTGTTGGGACACAGAACTTCAATGAATGGATTTTATAAGGAATTTCACTTGTCCAACCTTAGTTAAGATTTTGGTGTAGTTGTGTCCCAATCTTTTTTGGTAACGTTTAAGCAGGGAGATTATTTAGACAGGCCAGCACTACTGCATCCTTGGTAGCAGTAGCTAAAGAAAGTAATTTAATATCCACAGAGTTGGGAAGTAAAAAATTATAACTTTCCAGCACCTGTTACTTTGGAAAGCTAGTGAAGAAAAAAGAAGTCAAATTTCAAAAATAAGGCAACAAGCAAGCGTAAAGTTACTTTACTCATGTACTTGTTTCCTGCTACTTTTACAATTTTTAAAGGACATTTTAGAGACATTAGGGACATTTTAGAGACAAAGCAGGGTTTAGTAGTGAAGCAGAAGGGACAGGAAACATTATACTGCTAATGTCCTTGTATTAACAGATTAGGATCCAAGACAGCCTGTTTTTAAGTTAGGTACCTATTCTCATAAATGATTTTTAAAGGCAAGGAATACATGGAGGTAGTTTTGTCAGTTCCCTCTATAGCACCTGGTATTTATTGACAGAAGATCACCAATTAATACTAAGTGATGTGAACTATATGTCAGAGGAAAGACCTGATAAAATCACCTCAGAATATCCCTTGCCTAAGAAAGCACTATGAAATTCATGGGGTCACCATATGTTGACACACCCACACCAATATCAATCAAGTGTAAGGACATATCACTGAATACTAATGTTAGGATCCTCCATGCTAGAGTATTTCCTGTTATATGTAAGAATATAAAATATGGACAATGAGGAAGGATAGCTGGCAGGAATAAAATCAACTCATTTGAAATGTGCTGCATTCAAATATCATGGACTACCATGGACTACCAAAATGAGAAATATGTGGGTTGGAAAGCAAATCAAGTTTGGATTTTCACTAGAAGCCTCGTAGTGGCTGTCATACTTTAAGCATCTTGTGAGATGTCATGAGTCATTGTAAAGTTGGTTTCAAAAAAGGGGAAAATGCAATACATGTGGATTGATTCAAGCAAGGAAGCAGGGGAATTGAGCTTGTAAAACCTGAGCAGGGCTTTTGATAACAGGACATCTTGGATGACTTTCAGTCATAGGGTTGCCATAATTTGAAGACAACAATGGCAACTAAAAAGTTATCTAAGCCATGCAGCTGAGGGGGAAAGGCAGAAAGAGGAGAGATACTAATGCTTTTATCTTAAGCCAGTTTGAGTCTCCTTCGGGAGAGATAAAGTGGGGTATTAATAATATTGATGATGATGCAGCAAATTGATTTTTTTAAAAAGTTGAAGAAATAGAGGGCAATGTTTTGCTGGGATTAGATGGGACTAGAGGTATAGGCAAAACTGCCCTCTAGAGATCTGTTTCCTTCCACTTAGGCTCCGCATGTCTATTTGTAAACAATGCAAATGTTATCAGGATGCTGGATAAGCCTTCAATATTCTGTCATCCAAAGCAAATCAAACATGGGAAACTTCTACCTGGAATTTGTCACGACTCGGGTTTGCGGGTAGTGCATAAAAATATTATTGTGTCCAGCACTAGCAACCTAGTCAGGTTGAGGACTGAAAATGTAACTAAGGTCTACACTAAAAATGTTGAGTGTAGAGTTGAGGTCTGTTTCAGGACTCTCGGCAAGTATTGAAAAGAATAGTGTTCAATAACAGAGTTGAGGATTAGCGAGTGTCGTGTAAGTACATAGACAATACCTAATAAAGCTGTAGAAGTCGCAGGAGTATTCACATAAGATTTCCATCCGCCTGTGAGGGAGATTCCATAGCCTATAGGACTTTTCCCATGCTGTACCTCCACCCCAACTACTTTTTCAGTAAAAGCAGCAAAGCGTTCATATTTACCAAACTATAAGAAAACCAGCATGGTGTCGTGGTTTGAGCATTGGATTATAACTCTGGAGACTCGGGTTTTATTTCCTACTTGGCCATGAAAGCCCACTGGATGACTTTGAGCAAGTCACATACTTGCAGTCCCAGAAAATCCTGTGATAGGGTCACCATAATTTGGAAACAACTTGAGGGCACACAATGACAAAATTGTGAATTCAATTAGACACAGCTTTGTTTTGTACTTTTTCCTAATGTATTGTCGAAGGCTTTCATGGCCGGAATCACTGGGTTGTTGTAGGTTTTTCCGGGCTATATGGCCATGTTCTGGAGGCAATTTTTCTCCTGACGTTTCGCCTGCATCTAGATCTAAAAATTGCCTCCAGAACATGGCCATATAGCCCGGAAAAACCTACAACAACCCTTTTTCATAATGTTTGAAAATCTATTTATTTTGCATAATCTATATGTTTGCAAACACTTAGATTTTTGAATCCATTAACCTATGCAGTTGGCTGTGAATCTTATCATGGGATGTCCTTTTGGGTCAGGGATTTGCTCTACAACAGCAGTTGTGACCTTTCTTTTAGGAAGAATTGATAAAATAAAATACAAAGGAGATTAACAATAAATTCATTCAATCTACTTCAGAAAACTAAGTCAGTTGAATCTTCTGATAATTCAGCAAACCAATGTACTGCTGCTTCCTCTACAGGGTAAACCAAGAGAAGATCAAACAGAGACAGTCCATCCTCCCGCCACCTCAAGGACCAGCTCCAATCCCTTTCCAATATGAAACAAGAACTTCTCCAAAGAGCAGCCTGAATCGGGTGGCTCCTCCTTCACAGCAAAATGAGCCAGGTATATAAGGCAGTTGCTGGGGGTTCCCTTTAGGCAGATGAGTATTGCAAGTGCCTGTAAATTGTTTGTAATCCACTTAGGAGTCCACAGGAGTCTTGCAGTTCCCTAACTTGTGAAAAGGAGGGCTGTTCCCCTGGATAGCACAAGGATGTCTACAGAAATGGAAATTCCCCATTCTTTTTAATTGACTTGTGAATTTTAAAACGCAATCCAAGCACAACTGTTTCCATATGGCAATTAAAGCTAAGAATGCATTCGCCCAAAAGGAATTCGGGTCTTCTTAATACGTGAAGAATCCCTAGTGGCCTTCCTTCTGCTAGATTCAGGTTAGAGAGAAGTCATCTGGATTCTATTTTAATATGAACTCATTTAGTTCACACTTAATGCAAACCAGAATGCAATTTTCCTTTGACCTCCCCCCTCCCCAATCTGAACTTTGCAATGCAGTTTTCTTGTTGAAAGAAATTTGTAATGTAATGGGGAAAGTGTTTTTTTTTAATTGCCATGAGTTCCACACAGGAAAAGGTCCAAATTAAATAAATGTGCTTGTATAATGTCTATTTAGGGGAAAACACATACAGACATGCAGATGAATGTACATCCATGGGAGAATACATTTTTTAAAAAACACACATTCAAAAATAATTTGCAATGGTGTTTAACTGGAATTGAATGAATGTGTGCTTTATTTTTTTTCTACAGTTTTAGAACAGTGCAACTCATAGTGGCGGTTCATGGATCAGTGCCAGTCCATAAGCCATTAACTCTCAGCCCCTGGCAAGATTTCGGAAAAGAAAGAATCAAATGTAGCCACTGAGTGCAAATATGGCAATACTCTCTGACTCACTGCAAAAAGAAATCAGATATCTTGAGATACAGTGCTTTCGAAACTGAATTGGAGAGATTGTCCATCCCTATGATTGATGTTGTAGAGACCCATAACATGTGATAGCTCACTGAATCCATATCTCAGGTTGTGTCTCCTGTAGAAATAAAACCACCCCGATTTTTCAAAATGATGTGCTAACTACAAACAAAATGGTATGCTTTCTTTGGTAGCATTGCCAGAACTCAACCCAAAGAAACATCCTGTTCACCAGTCCCATAACAGTAGCTCCTGCACTAGGTCCACTTACACAGGTGGTCCAGAATATGGAAGTAACCATATAATCATCATCATCTTTATTTATACCCCGATGATGATGATGACGACGACGATGATGATGATGATGATGATGATGATGATGATGATGATGATGATGATGATGGTGATATGGTTACTTCCATATTCTGGACCACCTGTGTAAGTGGTCCAGAATATGGAAGTAACCATATAATCATTAAGCCGGTCCAAATCCCTCTATGGAGGTGAGAAGATTGGGATATAAAAGTTTTTAAATAATAAGTGGACCTAGTGCAGAAGCTACTGTTATTTATACCCTGATGATGATGATGATGATGATCATCATCATCATCATCATCATCATTATCACAATCATCATCTTTATTTATACCCCGCCACCATCTACCGGAAGGGACTTAGGGTGGCTCACAAAAACATGTTATCTGTAACATGTTACCTTTGTGTGTCATGAGAGCAACCCCTGGGGCGGGTTCCAAAATAGTATGCTGGTGTTCTTACATTTAACTTGTTGACTCGCATGAATCTCAATTTACATATACCCAAACATTTGAAGTCATCAGTAGCCATTCTCCTGGCCTGTCACCATAACCAGCTCGTTTTCATTTATGAGATAAAAGCAGCAATTTAACCTCGTTCTAACTGTAGTCATGGGGAGGGGATGTTTTATCATCCTGTGATCCCTTTGCTCCTTTTTTGCCCCTCCTGTACTGATGATAGTCTCCCTCATTGGAAAAGTCCCCTTATCCTCCAGGCACAAAGCTGGCCACATGTTCTTGCTCACTCTCCTACCCTTTTTGCTCCTCTTTGTATCTCAAGAGGGAGATGTTTTCTCTAAGCTTTCTTTCCAATTTGAAAAAGGGCCAGATGGGATACCTTCTGAGAGCAGGAGGGAGTAAATTCCACTGATGTCAGTGATTCCTGCTTTCTGAGCAGACATGTATTGGATTGAATACCTTGCCAAACACTCAGAAATGAGACAGAGAAAAGAAGGGACTTTCCTATTTCTATCCCAAAGCAGGAGTTATTTTTCTAGTCTGTCCCGGTGGTATTCCTGCAAGGAGGCTGAACTTTTATTACCCCATCCCCCACTCAGCCACAAGAATAATTGAAAAACAAGTATGTAGAAGTAAAATGCTTTGAATGCAATTTTCCTGCGTCTTGGACTAGATGACCCACGAGATCTCTTCCAACTCTTTGATGCTATGATTCTAAGAAAATGGACAAAAACCAATTTTATTCTATATAAGAATGATTATATCAGGGTGGTAAAGTATCATCATGGTGGTTTGAGAAGGAAGGAAAATACCTGCAGGGTCATCACACAGAGCTGTTCATGTTTCTATCTCTCTTTGAGAAAAGCAAACAAAAAAATCAGAAACAATCCAAACACTGTGTGAAAGCTTAGATATTATGTAACATCATTCTGTACTAGCTGACAACATGTTTCCAGTCAGAACTCAAAGTGCTGGTAATGACATTTAAAGCCCTAGATAGCTTGGTATCTTGATATTTCAGTGAGCGCACCTCCCTGCCTGTGTTAGAGTTGAAGTCTCCTGGCAGGACCCTCTGTCTCCCAAATGTAGGAGCCACACATTATGGGAAAACATGGGAGAAAATCCTCCCCGATGTGGCGCCCCATTTTGGGAAAGCCTTCTCCTTAAGGACTCATTTGGAAACAGCACTTTGTTTTGGTGCCAAGTAAACAACATTTCCCTTTGAAAAACTGAGGGCAGTCACAGAGAAGGTCATTTTTGCAAATGTAGGCTTAAAATGACAACACATTGGTCGGGCCTGTGATCCAGCAACAAGTTGTAACCCAAAAGTAGCAAAGGCACAAACACTGAAGGCATGTATATCTTCTCTGAGACTGCTATTTTATACAGATTGAGTATCTCTTATCTTAAGTGCTTGAAACCAGAAGTGTTTTGAATTTTGAATTCCTTTTCCTGGATTTTGGAATACCGGTATTTGCATAAGATACATAATGGAGATGGGACCCAAGTTTTAACATGAATTTAACTTGCGTTTTATGTACACCTTATATACATGCCCTGAAGGTAGTATTAATAGACAATAATTTTAATAATTTTGTACATGAAAAGGATAATATTATACACTGAACTAAGAGGAAGCAGTGATGTCACAATCCCAGCCACCCACATGGACAGTTTTGGATTTTGGATTATTTTGGAATTCCAGATAAGGGACAGTCAACTTGTATAAGCTTATGCAGAACTTGGTGGGGTGCAGATTTCCTTAGCATAGGAATGTGAGTGTGGGGAGAAATAAATCCCTTTGATAAATGTGATGCTAAGGTTTTTGACTGATGAGATAGAAGAGTATTCTGTGTGGATAAGGATGTCTTGATCTGTCAGCTTCCTTACAGGTGAAAAATAAATACCAATCTAAACTAGTAACTAATAATTTGAGATATATTCATTATTACATCATCATTTGTTTATTAATATAGTGCCATCCCTGTACATGGCACTTTTCAAGTAAAACCAACAACAGCTCCAAGTTCTCAGACTTCTAATCTAATGACGATATGACACAAAAGGAAAGGGTGGGGAGAGAGGATTATGTCCAGCAGATCCTCTCTCCATTACATAACTTGCAGGCAGGCTTTGTGATTCATTAGATGTCTTTCCTGCTTTCTGCCGTCTACCTCTTTTTGTCTGCATTCTTACTTCTTGTCACAAATTTGGTTCCAAAAAACAAATGACTGGTTTTCTTCTGAAATTTGTCACTGCAAATAAGAATGTTTATCCAGAAACAATGCATGCAACGAAATGCACGTCTGCTCCTATAGTCAACTATCTACCATTTGAATTTTTGCCAGTTACCTGTCCATCTGTGCCTTTATTATAGAAATACTGCTTGTTTCACCTTCTCAGGGAAGGATTGTGGAGAGGATTGTGCAAGTTCTTACAGGCTTCCTTTTGGGTTATGTATAAGCCTGTATTATACAGCAGTCATGCAGAAATCCAAGCAACCTGAGGCCATCAGATAGTTATGTATTTGTTTTGTTCCTTCATTCCATTTTCACATATCCCTGCATAGTCCTCATCATTTTGATCTTTTCCTCAATTAAAGCACAAAATCCTAAAAATTTGCTAGAAAGATGCAAGGGAAGGATTATGTGAATAACCAGGTGTCAGTGGCTATTCTTGGCCTGATGGTTTGTGGCTAAAAACCTATAGAAAGTCAATAGAGCTTTGTTGGAGGCACGTAGAGAATTGCCAAGTTGCTGTTTCACTTGATCTTTTCTTGCACACACAGCATAACATCAATCTGACATGCAGCAATTTGAGAGGTTACATTTATCCTTTTAATTGTACATTCACACACTATCTTTTATACTACATACCTATGGCACTTTGATACCAATTTAACTGCCTTGGCCCTTTCCTGTGGAAACCTAGGATTATGTAGTTTCATGGTATATGTAGATTTTTTGGCGAGATAATGCCAGTTCCTCACCAAACTACAGATCACAGGATTTCTTTGGAATGCTGCAAAGACAAAGTGATATCAAAGTGCTAGAATTTCCACACTATGAAAGAGATTACTATTCCCTCCATCTCTTCCTTTCTCTCTGTTAACGCTACCTGCTTAGTTTCTGCATAATGGACTGCCACTTTATGTTGGGCTCAATGTACCTCTCCCCTCTTCTGACCATAGGGCAGCATGTGAAGTGCTACATGTTGACTCAATGCCATTTTGGTGTAAGTAGAGAGGACTTCTTCCTCAGATAATCATCAATCCTTGCCCATTGGGTTATGTATAAGCCTGTATTATACAGCAGTCATGCAGAAACCCAAGCAATCTAAGCTTCTTCCCCATTTTGTAAGTCAACACATTGAAGGGCATTTGGTTTAAGAGAGGGGCAGGCATTGTTTGTGTCCATATCAGGCTTCTGGATTGATTTTAGATGCAGCAGATATGATATCATCTGAACCTTCTGTCCTGACACTATTACACTTTTCTTTTAAGAGTGCAACAACCTGATTTTGCTTCATGGGTCCAGAAAGACACATATTTGGGTAGTAGTGGAAGAGCAATTGCATTATGCAGAGTACTGAGACACTTGCTACACTGAAACCAAACTTCATAAAAGAGGTGGAGCGTTGTTAAGTCACAACAGGAGAACTGCCTCCATGCGTGTTGTTTCCTTATTGCACCTAGCAGAACAGAGCACATTGAGAAAGCTTCCATTGGCATGTGATGCATCATCCCTCTGTGATCTTTACTTAGCAATGTTATTCCTAGTGCCTTTCCCTTGATTTCCATTGCAAACTGTCATAAACCCTCCATATATTAATATCTGTAGCAAAATTTAGTAGATTTGACATTTTCTTAAAAAGCAGATATTTACAGTCTATGCCTGCTTTATCACTGATAATCAATAAGCTGATTTTGTGCATTTGACAGAATATGACCGACGAAGCTCAAGCTCTCAGGATCCAGAAGAGGCCCGTGCTCTTTTTGCACAGAAGATTGAGAAAGAAACGGTTAGTGATAACGGTCTATCTATCTGTCTATCTATCTATCTATCTATCTATCTATCTATCTATCTATCTATCTATCTACACACACACAGTGTGTGTGTGTGTGTGTGTAAAGATGGGAGAATGAGCTTACAATTTCATTAAAAATGAATTTTAATAACTGTTTCACATGTCAAGCTTTCCATATAGCAGAGAAATGGGAAAAGATTCTTGTACTACTTTCCTGAGCACAAAGTTGAACTTTGGAATTCACTGCTGAAGAATATAGTGATGGCTGCCAACTTGGATAGCTTTAAAATGGGATTGGGTCCCTTTATGTGTTTGAGGGGTGACAATATCTCCTAGTTTGTAGGCTACTCAGCAGGCTATGTGCCAACTCCATTATTAGAGGCAAAATACAACAAAATCCAAAGTACATATCACAGCAATATCTTTATTAGCTCAACCAAATGGCAGTAAAAGGTATCACCAGAAGGTATATTTTGGATTTTGTTGTATTTTGCTGTATGGTTGCTCTTAAATATTCTTTTAGAGACAGTATATTTATTTTGTGAGAGACAATTTAATATGGCAATTTGATTGATAGATTAGGGTGCAACTACACTGTAGAATTAATGCAGTTTGACAACTGAAAAAGAGAGTGTAGTTACTATTGCCTCCTGGTGGTAGGCTTGCTATAGGCAGTTGGGTGGCCATTGTATAAACAGAATGCGGAACTAAATAGGACTAAATAGCACAATTAACATCACACCTGATTCGGCCATTGAAAGGGAAACAAGGTGGACTTTGAGAGTAACTTACACAACTTTCATTATTTGTGTATTCTCCCCATATCTCTTTTTGCAGCAAATCTTAAATTGCACCCTAGATGATATTGAGCTGTTTGTTGCCAAGCTTCAGAAAGCAGCCGAGGCATTTAAACAGCTGAACCAGAGGAAGAAAGGAAAGAAGAACAAGAAGAAAGGGCCAGCAGGTAGGGAGCCATGAGTTTTGCGGGGGGAATCTGTATGTTTGTTGAAAGGATTTCTCATTCCAGTCAGTGGGATTTACTCTTTGAGAACTGTGGATTAAATCCTAGCCTTTGGTCGTGTTCAAAATAGGCCAGCAGCATTTTAAATGTCTCCTAACTCTGGAGAATCTTGCAAAAAATAAAGGAGTGAGCAACCAGTAAGCCAAAATTTGGCCCTCATTTGGCCTTTTATCTCCCCCCTCCTCCCATTTTTAATCCAGGAGAGATTTTTAAATTGATCTCAGTTAAGTTCAAAGGGAGAAATCCTAAATAAATTATTTCTTTATTTCATATGTAATTGTTTTACTGGGGAGCCACCATGTTGTATTGGTTTGAGTGTTGGACTACAGCTTCAGAAGATGTAGTCTGCCTGCAGCCACCCAAGAAAATGCACTGGGTGGCTGCAGGCAAATTAAAACCTCTCAACCTTAGTGGAAGCCAATGGGAAACCTCCTCTGAATAAATCTTGCCACCACAAATCAGAGACAATTTGCAGACACATAACAATAAGAAATGTTATGCATATCATGTTTTTAGTTCCCTGATTCTGAAAACAATTCTAGATCTGAAAAAGAGGGTGAGGAATAGAATCCCATGACAGATTTGTGTGACCTCAATTCGCATCTCAGGAATAAACGGTTACCAAATGCTATAATGTAAGGATGCATTATGAACTTCAAATCCCATAGGATGTGGCTATAGCAGCTTTTTTCCTGTTAGAAGTGACTTGGGAAACTGCAAGTCACTTCTGGTATGAGAGAATCGTATGTCTGCAAAGGCATGGCCTAGGGAATGCCTGGATGTTTTACTATCCTGAGGGAGTCTTCTCTCATGTCCTCGCATGTGAAGCTGGAGCTGACAGACGGGAGCTCACCCCGCTTCCCGGATTTGAACTGCCAACCTTTCGGTCACCACTGAGGGCTCCACTATAGCAGCTAAAGTGTTATGTTACTTTAGTCGAAAGGGCCCCGAGAGAGAGCGAAGGATCTCTCTTGTGTTCTTCCATGTTTGTGTTATCTATGCATCATGGAATGCTGCAAGAGCCATCCAGCCCCCTAGGGGCTCTGTTTCTGAATGAGACTGGAAGGCGTTGAAAGAATTGACTGGAATGGTAGTGAGATATTGACCATCTGAGACACTGAGAGATCAAACATCTGAGAAAAATTCAATGGGTTCTGACCTCCTAAACTGATGTCTGGGGAATGGGTTTGGCATCTAAAAATAAAGGGTATTGGAAAGCTTTCTTCACATGCACACAAACAATGAATCAATTAAATTTTGTTATTAACTGCAAGATGCAATAAATGCTCTTCCTTTTGCTGATTTTACTACCTTTCTTAAAACAAGCGTTCTTTTTTTAATGGTCCCCTCAAGAAATCAATCCTGTCTTAACAACTTCTTTCTTTCTGTTTTTCTTATCTAAAGAGGGAGTTCTGACTTTAAGAGCAAAACCCCCAAGCGAAGCTGAATTCATTGACTGCTTCCAGAAAACCAAACTGGCACTAAATCTGTTGGTAAGAAGCAACTTGTGTTGCATGATTTGTATTCATCTTAACTAAACAGGCAATGGTATACCTCTGTACTTCATGCCATCATTCTGTAGTATTATTTAGGTATTCAGCAGGGTGCTCCTCCTGATGGGTTTGCTTCTGTAAGTAGAATTGGGTGCAATTTTACCTCTCTACTATAATCCTACCCCAACTCCAAAAACCTATGTCAGGAGTCAAGGAATCCCTTCAGAACCAGTTTTAGGCAGCTCTAAGGTCTCTGGCCCCTTTGTGTGATATTTTGTAAGCCATCCCGAGTCCCTATGGGAAGTGGTGCCGGGGTATAAATAAAGTATTATTTTATTATTAGGGGGAATTGGGAAAGAGTAAGGGAGAGAATGTTTTATATAAGTTTCATTTTTTACATTCAAAGGTCACTTTGTCTCCTGGGGCCCTTGGATACTACACAGTGATATCGCTAGGATTGCATTTTAACTGCTGGCATTCCTCCCCATGGGATTATGGGGTTGTTCCAGTGTGCCTTCCCAGAATAATGAACCCTTAGCACTTTGTCCTCCAAAGCACTTTATATTGATTTAGGACTGCTTGTATGTTCCCACTAATGCCCCATCTCCTTTATCTTGTCCATACCCAGCATTATTTTAAAATTTTAATTACATTGGCCTAGCCACAGATTTTAAATGTGTATTGTGCTATGTTACTCTGTGCATGAGATTTATTTTAATTGCTTTGTATTGTTGTTGTTATTGCTTGTATTGTTGTATTGTGGGCTCGGCCTCATGTAAGCCGCACCGAGTCCCTTGGGGAGATGGTAGCGGGGTATAAATAAAGTTTATTATTATTATTATTATTATTATTATTATTATTATTATTATTGATGATGTTGTTGTTATTATTATTATTATTATTATTGCGTATGCAATTTAAGACAGTGTAGTTAGAATTTTCTAAGAGAGGTCCAGTGCTTCACCAGACTACAAATCCCAAGATTCCATGCAATGCAACCATGAGTACTCAAGCCAAATCAGGGAGCTGTAATTGTGTGGTGTCGAAGGGTCCTCAGAATCAAAACAAAGCAAACAACTAAATATAAGTGTGGTTTGCAACATACTGCTGCTGTTCCTCTGGGAAGCGCCTTACTGCCATTGTTGTAATTTGCATGCTTTTATCTTCTTTTATAGATGAATAGTTGTTTTTAAAAAATAACAGAAAGGGAAACTGCAGACACTTTTTCCAAACCTTTTTCTACAATCATGTTCATAGCACTGGCTGAGAAAAAGAAAAGAGAGGGGAGCACAGCTAAATGAACCCTCTTCCCATTCCTGGCCATCTGATGGGGTTAACCTTTTAGTCTTTAATGTTTAGCCCTGCAAATCTAAATGTAGCATTATCACCATCTACAAATATTGCACTATTTATTGTCAAAGGCTTTCATGGCCAGAATCACTGGGTTGTTGTAGGTTTGTATGGCCATGGTCTAGAGGCATTCTCTCCTGACGTTTCGCCTGCATCTATGGCAAGCATCCTTGGAGGTAGTGAGGATGCTTGCCATAGATGCAGGCGAAACGTCAGGAGAGAATGCCTCTAGACCATAGCCATATAGCCCGAACAAACCTACAACAACCCATTGCACTATTTGTTGGGAGGAGAGAGATAATATTTTGAGGACACCAATTGCTTGCTTGCTTGCTTGGAGATAATTGTTTGTCAGTATTGGTTAGTGTGATCTAAGTAACATTTGATATTCCCCATTTATTGGAATTCCAGTTCCCAGAGAGGGTGAGAAGGTCAGAGCTAGGATCAATAAGCAACCTGGCACCTGTTCATATTGCCGGCCTTCAATGGTGCCACAATGTCACTCACAGGAGAAATAGTTAACTAGTTTGGGGAAAGCTAGGCAGGATCTGGTCCTGCATTGAGTTGCTGCCATTTCTGTTTTGACAAAGAGGTGTTTTGTTTGCCATCACAACAAGCGCTCAGCAATGTAAATAGGAGGCACATTCATCTCAGCGACCGTCAGCTGCTAACGCAGGACATTTGACTTCCTTGTAAATCCCTGTCATTGTTCTTCCTTTGCAGTGCAGCCATTTCCAGATATAAATATCTGAGGCTTTGGAAGCACCAGTGATTTGCAGTGGGTGTCATTACATTTAAGACAAATGCCATTTCACAGATTTAAAAAGCTCCTCACTATTTGTTCTTCATGGTTCTCTTGCTTCACAGATTAACAAATCAGACTTGGATATTTAGAATGGAAGTCACTTGGTGAAATGAATAGCCTTTTATTGTTTTTATTATTTTACAAACTATTAATATTCCCTATTTCCCTTTTTGGGGGTTTCTTAGGCCCCTTCTACAGTGCCATATAATCCAGGTTATTAAATCAGATAATCCTCATTATCATCTTTGAACTGTATTATATTGGTCTACATTGCCCTATAAACTGGTTCAAAACAGATAATTGGATTTTATACTGGAGTGTAGAAGAGGTCATAGAAGAGGCCTTAGATTCAGTATTTGTTCTCATAAGGAGACTTTCTCCTTTGCAGAGCTTCATGAAGTCCAGCAACTCTTTCCAATATTGAGCAGCAATATCTCTAGAACACATGTGTCAAACACAAGGCCCGCAGGCTGAATGCAACCTGTCACATCATCTTATGTGGGCCACGAGCCTTTCAACATAGTTACATTTATACAGTCTTAAAATTACAAACGGCCCTTTGAAAGCAACCACAGGCTGATGAGGCTTGCAATGGAAATGGGTTTGACACTCCTGCTCCAGAAGCTCACAAACAGGGCAGTGCTGGTGTTGGTCCTCACTATTTGTTTTTCATGATTCTCTTGCTTCTTCTACACATGGACATGACAATGACTGACTCTGGTTTATAGTTAGGTCATTCCTCTAATTTAATTTTTATAGGGATGAATGCTTCCTCCCATCTATTTCTATTTCTATCTAGCTGTTCTCTTCACTCGTTGCCCACAGTTGTGAGATCAGGAGCTCTTTTATAGTTGCCCCCACATATAAGGAATGTCCTCCTCCTGAATTCTTTGTATTCATTTACATATCAAGCAACTTCCTGTACATATCAAGCAACTTTGACAGGTGTTTCAATTTTAATTTGTTGTTTTTATTGTTGGCTTTCAACCAGCTGAATATTTCATATAAATATTTGCCATATCATTGATTTAGTTGTTTTTCTGTTGTTAATTTTGTGGTTTTTATTATTGTAAACCATAAGTATGGAAATCTGATTAACAATCAAATAAAGCTAAACTTAATAACCTTCATTACATCAAAAGCAGACTGGAGATTTGTGGCTAGGATAGTTTCCATTCACTGAGAATAGTAGTTTGAAAATTATTACAAGAATCCTTAATAAATGGCCTTTGGTTTCCCAAGAGAAAACTATATTATTTCTTTTTTAAAGTTTTTATTAGTTTGTTGAAATAGCATATGCTAAGATCTCAGCATATGCTATCAAGAACAAGAAAACATTTTACATTTTATAAAAGAAATTCCATTCCAAGTTATGCTGGAAGTCCTACAAATTACTAGAGAGAACGTTTTTCTCAGTTTTGTGTAGGGCAACAGCAGATGCAGCAGCTTTGAGTCCCCCCAGGGGTGAGAAAGGTGGTATATAAATACTGTAAATAAATAAATACAACAATATGTGAATCATAAAATATGTACATGCTTAACTCATGAATGTGGAGAGCTGATTGTAATACAATTTAAAAGAGTTTGCATTGTGTATGCACAATCAGAACCCAGTGACCCATGTAGACTCATGCAGGCCCGTAGCCAGGATTTTGTTTCGGGGGGGGGGGGCTGAATTTCTTTCGGGGGGGGGCTGAGTTTCGGGGGGGCTGAATCTGAGTGAAAGAGGGTCTACCCTAGCAAACCTTTTGTATCATTACCCCAATACCCCCATGCATATGGGATATATTGAGTATGGTGATCAGATCATGATATGAATAAACATAACAGTTTAAATAATGCCCAGTAAGGCCTTTTCGCGAACCACCATGAGAGTTGGGGGGGGGGGGCTGAAGCCCCTCACCCCCCCCCCCCCCCCCGGCTACATGCCTGGACTCATGTATAGGTCAACTTCATATATAAGTCAAAGCAAGGTTTTGGGGAGCAAAACTATGGTTTCTGATGAGCCAATGATAAGTTGAGAGTCATTCCATAGAGAAGCAAAAGTACTAATGCCACCCCTAGGGAACAGCCACACCAGGCCAGTGCCATCATTTTCCCGCCAGACATTCAAGATCCTAGACGCAGCACTACGATGGAGAGAGTAGAGGGGATCCGTACTTCTTTTAGGTTCTCCTGGGATGGATTATGCTTTCACCTTTTGCCACTCTACTCTAGAGAAGGACATGGTTCCTTTTTTATATAAAAGTCAAGTACCGTACTCACATTGCCTAAAAATGTATCCATGAGTATATAGGGTAATTGGACTCCCATGCCAGTGTTAACACCCCACTGATATTTTTGTCAATGTTGTTCTAGTCTTTTGCTTTTTTGGGAACATTCTGGTTGTGACCCCTGATCAAGATAAAAATCTAATCTCATTTTCACTTTCAGGCAAAACTGAGAAAACATATCCAGAATCCAAGTGCTTCGGAATTGGTGCACTTCCTCTTTGGGCCGCTGGAATTGGTACAGTCCTCCTAATCATGCTCTCTGTCTTCTGCCTCCTGCACTTACACCATAATCTCCAATAGCCAGAGTCACTTGATTATGGATACACTTTGTATTCAGGTTCCATTTATAAATCTCTTACAAATTAAACATGCTTTGAATATATATCATGTGTTTAAATGTGTTTTCAAAGAAATAGCCTAATAGTCTGTTGTAGCAAAAGGAGGAAGAGGAAAAAAAATGAATCTTTATTGTTTTTGTGTGCCTTCAGGTCATTCCTGACTTAAGGTGATCCTATCACAACAGTTAATTGGCAGAATTTAGTTTTACCATTGTCTTCCTCTGCAGAATCTTCAAGATTAAATCGAGGTGCATCCACACTATAGAATTAATGTAGTTTAACTCTATTTTAGTTGCCATAGCTCAATGTTATGAAATCCTAGGATTTATAGTTTGTTGAGACACCAGCACTCTTTGGCAGAGAAGGCTAAAGACCTTGTAAAGCTACATCATTCATGATCCCATAGCATTAAGCCGTGACAGATAAAGTGGTTCCAAACTGCATTAATTCTATAGTGTAGATGTACCCACAGTCTTTTTTTCTCTTTATGCTTATACATTTTTATATATTTAATTTGTCCAGTTGTCCTTTGATTAGTTTCAAAGAAGTGCCCTCCCTCATTCTAGTTTCTTGTTCTGTTTGAATGTGAGCGGGCACTGAGTTGATTTATACAATCCTAAATGAACAATCCCTTTTGGGCAGATATCTTGAAATATACTTTGAAATTATCTTTATGTAATTTCCCCTGTTTTAATGCAGATTGTCAATAGCTGTGGTGGTCCTGACCTTGCAAGGTCTGTTGTCAGCCCACTTCTCTCTAAAGATACCGCAGATTTCCTGAAAGGACATCTAACCCCAAAGGAGATGGCGCTATGGGAGTCCTTTGGAGAGACCTGGACAAGGTCGCGGTAAGTTGAAGCACATCCAGAAAGCAATCCAAGAAAGAATTTGGAGATTAGTCAAGGGATGTCAAGCCATTTGACAGGACACTTACAGTGAAGCAATAACAAGCATTCACCATCATCATCTCATCTTTTCACCAAGACTGGAAATTAGGCCAGCTTACACAGTAAAAAGATTACAATGAAAAACATATAGAAAGTCAACAATATGCCCAAAATGGACATTGAAACCAAATTAAACTATGAATAGTATTAAAACATATAGACTGAGCACATATTTAAAAGTTAAACAATACAATTTAAAGACAATAGAACACTTATTTTCCTTTTATGTTCTAGAAGCCAAGTCCTCGTCTGCTAATGGAAACAAGCAACTAGGAGCCAGTTCTAACCTCCCTAGAGAGGGAGTTGCAATGTCTAGGGTCAGCTACTTAGAAAGTCCTCTGTCATACCTGGCAATAAATGTGTCTAATTTGTTTAGAAAATGGAGCAGAGCACTTCAGTGTGTAATAACATTGAAATAAAACATCACAACATTATTATAAAAGCAGGTTGCCCATCCACCTTTACACAATCCACAGCCACAATCCCCTCTCCAATGTATATGCTTGTTAAATTTTCCAAAGAGAATACTGAAGGCAGACAACAGTGTGAGACTAGGCATAACTCCCTGGATCAATATTATGCATTCACACCTCTCTTGCCTCTATTCAAGAGACTGAAAAATTAGAAAAACCTGCAGGACTTGTTTACTGAAGCCAAAAAGTAGCAAAGGAGGTGAGAAGGAGGGACACTTTTCTCTAGTCTGAACTTTTAAAGTGTCAGCTATAGACTAGATTACAAAAATATGATGTGTAGTCTGTGTTTCATATAAAATAGCTTCTTTGTGATTTGTCTCCAAAGAGCTGAGTGGCCAAGAGATGCCAACATCCCAAACTATATTCCAAAATTCCGAAATGGCTGGGAGCCGCCCCTGGAAATCTTCCGCGGAGCCCCTTGGGAAATAGATATTGGCCATTTGCAGGAAGAGGTGAGTTTCCATCTTAATCCCTCCACACTTCTCCTAAAGTTATTCAAATTGTGAACTAAACACTCTACAAACATATTGTTGAAGGCTTTCATGGCCAGAATCACAGGATTGTTGTAAGTTTTTCAGGCTGTATGGCCATGTTCCAGAAGCATTCTCTCCTGACATTTCACCTGTCCATGAAACGTCAGGAGAGAATGCTTCTGGAGAATGGCCATATAGCCCAAAAACTCTACAAATGTCCAAGTAGCAACATTGGGGGACCAAAATTGATTTTTAAAACCTGCAGTTTCTGTGTTCATCCGCTTCAAGCAAACAGCACCTGGTTCAACTGAGAAGCAAACACTTTTTCTTATGCCCCTTCCACACAGCTGAATAAAATCTCAAATTTTCTGCTTTGAAATGGAATATATGGCAGTATGGACTCAAATAATTCAGTTCAAAGCAGATATTGTGGGGTCTTCTGCCTTGATATTCTGGGTTATATGGCTGTGTTGAAGGGCCTTTAGTCAGAATTACACGTTACTGGCAAGTTGAGACATATGTAGGTGAAAAAGTCATTTTGGTTTTGTCTTAACTCTATTATTTGCACCAGAATTGAAACATTGCTTGGTCTTTGTGCTATCTTGACTACGACACTTGTGGCCATTATTCCCCACTGGCAATAACTCCCTCCTATGTGTTCTTCTTGGTCCTAACTTAGGCCCCATCTACACTGCCATATAATATCCAGATTATCTGCTTTGAACTGGATTATATGGCAGTGTAGACTCATATAATCCACTTCAAAGCAGATAATGTGGGTTATGTGTTTTGATAATCCAGATTATATTTGGAAGTGTAGAAAGGGCCACAGTGCCTGGTACATGTATAGGCTCATATTACTGTATTTTACTGTGAGGTTCAATTGCTCCCTTTCTTGTGAGAGAAATGCTCCTTTGTTTCTTCAAAAAAAGAGGCACCAGTTTTCCTTCCATAATTCATTTCCATGATTTCAAATGACACTTAGGTATAGTTGTATATAATGAATCTCTATTGAAACCAACGTTCTTTCTCTGTTTTATCTTTAAAGCTATCATCGTCTCCTAACGGCTATTCCAGCCGTAGCATAAAGACAGCCCAGACATCTGATCAAATGCACGCTGTTGATGCCTTCACACAGCTTGTTTCTCAACATGTAAACAGGTAATTTCTAGTGCGCTGAACTTCTGCCTCCTCAATCTCACTGAACACTGCCCCCGAGTTCACTGATGGGCAGATGAATTAGGAAGAATGATTGATTGATTGATATTATTTACTTCATTTTTATCCCACATTTCTCCCAATATAGGGATTCAATATCTTAGTGGTATTATTTATTTATTTATTTACTTCATTTGTATACCGCCATTCTCAGCCCTAAGGCGACTCATAGCGGTTTACAACAAGCAAAAACAAGGCAAACAATCAAGGCAAAAATTCAATGCGGCATCAACAAGGTACTTAAAAACAGTTAACACAGAAGCAAATTAAACAATTTAACAGTAATAAACATTCAGTGGCGTCTCATAACTAGAATCATGATCCAAACCCGTCAGTCGTAGTTCCATTTCCTGAAATTCATTGCACTGCTTATTCAAATGCCTGTTCAAATAATCAGGTTTTCACTTTCCTCCGGAATACCATCAATGAGGGGGCCAATCTGATGTCTGCGGGAAGGGCGTTCCACAGCCGAGGGGCCACCACCGAGAAGGGTTAGGCCAGTAACTGGGAAGAGGTGTCTCTGACTCCTTCCACACTGCCCCTATATCCCAGGATCTGATCCCGGATTACCTTCTTATTCCAGATATCTGGCAGTGAAGACTCTTATAATCCATTTTAAAGCAGCTAATCTGGAATCAGATCCTGGGATATAGAGCAGTGTAGAAGGGGCCTCTGTCTGCACTACTCTGGGCTGGTGTCAGTGGGGAGTGTAGAGTAGCACAGGGGCCAGTACGACTCTGGCATGGCTATTTCTGGCCACTAATGTCCTTGCCAGCCCAGAACAGCACACCTGATGGTTTGGAAAATCAATACTTTCCCTTTCTGGGGGTGGGCAGAGGCAGCAGAGAAGCCCCTGTGGTCAGCCACTGGCCACAGAGGAGAAGTGTTGCCACCTGCACTTTCCAGGAACTTGTGATGGTTCCTCTGTGATTCTTGCTGCTGAGACAGTGTCGTGTGAGGAAAGACAACAAAAAGAGGCAAAGGTGCTGCATGAGATCCCAGAAGGCTACCAGGTACTGCTTTTCCTCTTTCCACCCAAACCCTTCACCCCAGAGGTAAAAGCCAAGTTATGGAGGCTTTGCCCAGTGCCTCATAGACCTGGAGCCAATCTTCTGCAGGTTGTTTAGCCCAAGAAAAGGAGGAGGGAGAAGAGGAGTCTTAACTATATTTGGAGGCCTACAGGTTCCCCAGTGCTACTATGAACTGTATTATGAACTTGTTTATGGAACAGATGAAGATAGAAATTCTCTTCAATATTTCCTGTTTCCTGGCCTCAGATGTTCTTTCCAGTGACTCATTCTGTTACTAGCATGTTTCAAACTATTTAAACATCACTCACCAATCTGCTGTTTCTAAGCCACTTTTTTAGGGAACAAATGTTGGTAAAGATAATAATAAATCTTTATGTATATCCTACTCATCTCCCTTACAGGACCCAAAGCAACTTACAACATATTAAAATCATGTAAACAACAATTTAAATAATCAGTAAGAAGCATAAAACTTCACAAAATAAGCAATTTAAATCTCTGGCTTGTTAGAGAGCCTTCCCATCTTAATTCCAAATCCAAGTCCATAACAACTTCTTGTAGTTGATGTTGTGTGTCTACAAGTCTTTATGGCATGCAGCGACCCTAAAGGGAACCTATTATCAGGTTTACTTAGATTTAATCAGAGGGGATTTGCCATCGCCCTTCTCTGAGGCTGAAAGAATGTGGCTTGCCCAAGGTCACCCAGTGGGCTTCTATGGATGAGTAGGAATTTGAACCATGGTCTCCAGAGTCAGAGTCCAACACTCAAACCATTATAAAAGGCTTACTTTCTCTGCAACAGTGGTTCTCAACCTGTGGTCCCCAAATGTTTTGGCCTTCAACTCCCAGAAATCCTAACAGCTAGTAAACTGGGATTTCTGGGAGTTGTAGGCCAAAACACCTGGGGACCCACAAGTTGAGAACCACTGCTCTACAACCTCATATTTTGTTCAACCATGGGGTTTTATAGAGGTTCAATAACCGAAAACACCATACATGGTTCCAATGTGCAAAAATGATAGCAGTACATGACAGGAGCTCTCTTGGCTAGCCCAGATCTTGATGAATAGTGCATAATCAACTGCCAATAATTTTATAAATTATAAACAGAAGAGTGGGGGAAGAAGCACACTCAAATGGTCATTTTTTGCTTCTAAAGCATTCCACAATTGCCGGTTTAACAAGAACCTACTCAAATCAACCTCTCTTTCACCTCTAGGAAATACAGGGTGTTTCAAAAAGATGGAGGTGATTTCAAATTGGTATATCTCTTATCATGAACTGCTCATAAATCAAACTCTTACCACTTGAAAGGGTGGAGAATTTCAAAGGATTGCCATTAGATTCTTCTCCCAGCTCACAAACAGATCCTAACCTCAGTCATTTGCAAGATGGCCAGCCACACATTTTCCATTTGCTGACGTATTTTTTAGATTTGTTTCTGGCTCAAAATGGTCAGTAAAACTCAATTGCTTGATAGCTCATTATTTTTATTTATTTACTTACTTCATTTATATACCACTTTTCTCACCCCTGGGGGGACTCAAAGTGGTTTCCAACATATTCACGGCAAAATTCAATGCCTTACAAAACATTAAACAGTTTGTAACTTTTTGTGTAATGGCAACAAGTTGCTGTTGTGAAATATACTGTTTTGAAATTGGTTTGATCATTTTGAAACACTCTGTAGACATCTGATTGTGATATCTAGGCAGTTTTGGGGGTGGTACAGTCCACTGCAGCTTTGCAGTGTCAAAAGTTTGTACTGGCACCCACTGCAGTTCCTCACCTCCTACATCAAGTACAAGAAGTGTTATGTGCATCATTTATACTGAGAATGTTTATTGCATGTTTGGATGAACTTTGTGATGCAACTGTACACATTCACTCTGCATGTGGTAGCCTCTTTCTCTGTATTTCCCCTTCCTGGATTGAGAAAGCTGATCTCAAAAAACTACAGTGTACAAACACTATAAACTCTAAGTACAGGAGACAGGGTGGCATGTGAGGTGTGATTAAGAAATGAAAGACCAGCTTGGGAGAAAGAAAAGTAATAATGTATTATAAGAACTACTTTAAAGGATAAGTTAGTGGCTTTAGATGCTTTGCTAAGGGCTGAGAAAGGCAGTATACAAATATAGTAAGTAAATAAAAAAAAAGTTATGTGCCAGGAAGAGGTGGTGGGAGAAGAGTTCGTTATTGTTATCTGCCACTGAATAGGCTCTGACTCATGGCGACCCAATACATTTGAGATTTCCAAGAGTATCACATCCCTTATAGTAGGACAGGACAGTGAGAAAACAGCTGGGCAACATTAACTATTGGACTCCCTGTAGACTTCCTTCATTTTATGTTAAAACGTGCTATTTCCACTTTCAATATTATGAATCACTTATCAATACTTTACAGAAAGAGAGATCAGTACAACTAAATATGGTTGATTTCCATCCCATGATATAGTGGTTGTGTGATGGACTATGTTGAACTACAAATATGGAGCCTAGAGTTCAATAACCTGCTTGGCAATGGAAACCACATACTCTCAGCTCCAGAAAACCCTATGATACGGTTGCCGTAAGTCAGAAACAACACAACAGCAAGAGCAATACCACTCTGACTGGGGAGGAGGCAGGGGGAGAGACATCAATTTAAGTAGCCACACATTTATGTAAGTCTTAATTTTCAAAAGGAACCAAAATTCCTTTCTTATATTCTATCTTGATTATAGTTGCAAAGAAGAGTTGTTGTATAATGCTGCTTTGTACAAACGAAGATGCTTTAAAATGGTACCTAAACTGAACCTAACTAGGAAATGCATGTGATTGCATTATGGTTCTGTAGATTAGACTGCTTTTAGTAAGTAGAAGAGGCTGGTTCTAATCCCTTCATGTCTGTCTTTCAGAAATTTGGAGGCACAGGGTATGACCCCAACAAAGAGATATGCCAAAATTCAGTATGATTTCACCGCTCGAAATGCCACTGAACTTTCTGTGCTGAAGGATGAAATTCTGGAGGTAATATAGTAAAACCAGGTTTCTTCCACCTCACAAATAATCATAATAAAGGTTTAATCACCTTTGCTATATACCTGTCATTCTGTCTTCCATGACAGTGGGGCTGTACTGAGTTGGAGAAACTCTTCCAGACAGAGGGATTCAAATCAGTTGCAGAGATTTTAAGAGGCTGGGAAACTCGAGAAGCTCTTTAAAGGTCCCAAGGCTTGAGGTTCCACATTCATGTGGTATACAAAACCTCTCATTCTTCAGAGCTTTCAAGAGAAATAAATTTTGATGGCTGAAAGCGAGAAGGAGCTGAGGAACCCTATAACCAAGGTGAAAGAAGAAAGTGCAAAAACTGGGCTGCAGTTAAACATAAAAAACCAAGATGATGGTAACCAGACTGATTGAGAACTGGCAAATAAAGAGAGGCAATGACAGACTTTGTATTTCTATGAGCAAAGATTACTGCAGATGCAGACTGCAGTCAGGAAATCAGAAAACATTTACTTCTTGGGAGGAGAGCAATGTCCAATATCAATAAAATAGTGAAGAGTAGAGACATCACACTGGCAACGAAGATCCGCATAGTTAAGCAATGGTATTCCCCATAGTCACCTACGGATGTGAGAGCTGAACCATAAGGAAGGCTGAGCAAAGGAAGATAGATGCTTTTGAACTGTGGTGTTGGAGGAAAATTCTGAGAGTGGCTTGGACCGTGAGAAGATCAAACCAGTCCATACTCCAGGAAACAATGCCCAGCTGCTCACTGGAGGGAAGGCAAAGATGAAATATTTTGGCCACAACATGAGAAGATAGGAAAGCTTAGAGAGGACAATGATGTTGGGGAAAAGGGGAGGAAAAAGGAAGAGGGGGCGACCAAGGACAAGATGGATGAATGGTATCCTTGAAGTAACTGGCTTGACCTTGAAGGAGCTGGGAGTGGCCACGGCCAACAGGGAGCTCTGGCATGAGGTCACAAACAAATAAACAACAAAGTTGGAATCTGCTTGCAGCATCCCTGTTATAATACTGCTTAGCATTGTAGATGTTGCTTATATGGTTCTCACTCATGTTCCTCATTAACAAAAGCTTCCTGTGAGCCGCTGTAGCAGAAATATTCTATGATAAAATAATGTTCAGGAACAAGAAGGGTGGTGTGCTAGATAGCAAGAAATATTGTCAACCCTGCTCTTCCTTCATTGCAAATACAAAACATCCACACATTCCTGCTCCCCCCCCCCCCCCCCCCCATTTTCAAACTTATCAAGAATTGTTTTTTCTTGGTTGACTATTATTATTTTTATGTTCCCAGGTATTGGAAGATAACAAACAGTGGTGGAAGTTGCGAAATCGAAGTGGGCAGGCTGGCTACGTTCCATATAATATCTTGGATTTGGTGAAGCTGGAGGATTATGGAATGATTGAACAGGTCAGAATAAGCTATCAATGAATTGCATGTGGAACTTCAGGAGTTTTTTAAACCAAGTCTCATATAAATAATTAGTATAGTGGTGTTTTCATTAAAGCAACTAATCCCTCTTTATTGTAAACATGTAAGGAGGTAGATGTGATGCACACATTGCACAGGTTTACACAGTTTTTCCAGTCCACGGCATGCCTTACCAAGGAAGGCTCCTCCCTGATCATCTGCTGGCAGTCAAAGATGTTTCTGTTGGCTTGTTTTGGAAACTGACTGATTCCCAAGAACAAGGCTTCTAAATGGATTGGTGCTGTTCTTCAAAACTGTTATTAATTGATATCCATTTAAAACTTTTTAAATTAAGTGGTGTTTTTTAAATTATAACTTATAATCCCTGTGACCTTACACTGAATTATGTTGTGGCTTTATGCTGTCAAAAATGCTGTTACACCAGCTGTTTCATTCGTGCAACAGTAGTGTTGTATTCGGGACTGGCCAAGCGCTATGTTAATAGTAGGAGTGGTTGTGTTGCCTTGCAGATTGCACAAATGCAACCCAAATATGGAATGATGCATTCAACTGGTTACACTACAGCAGGCATCCTCAAACTGCAGCCCTCCAGCTGTTTGGGCCTTCAACTCCCAGAATTCCAGACAATTGAACAAGGTTGTTAGGGATTCTGGGAGCTGGAGGTCCAAACAGCTGGAGGGCTGAAGTTTGAGGATGCCTGCACTACAGCGTATTTTTTTATATTTATTTATCGTGTCAGGGCAACCAGTCAATTATATTACATTTCTAACAGAATAAAGCAAACAAACAGACAAAATACAAAATTACTACAGCATAATCCTTGTGCAACCCATCACCAGAGTATGAGCACATGTGAACACAAATACACTGTTCTCCCCCACTCTTCCCATACCTATACATTTCTTCCTTTCCACATCTCAGTGTGTAGTTGTGGAGAGATTAAAACCTCCTTTCCCTTCCTGCTGAGACCTAGGGATTGCTGCAAGGGGAAAGTTAGGATGAGAGAGAGATGGAGAGACTTCATATATTGTACAAAAATTACTTGGATAATTCTGCTCTGTTATCTCTTCATTCCAGCAGTAATGACTGGAAGGTGGTGTTTATCTGATTTTCTCCTCCTGACAGAGTAAAGGAAAAAGTACTTATATGTTTTTGCTCATTTTCAGAAATACAGAGGAGACTTGAGTCCAAGGGGAACGGGACCTTCCAGCCCTTCACATAAATTACCTGCAAGCTATGCTGGGGATAAATGGGGAAGTGAAATGCTCGCCCGTAATTCTCCTGATGCCAAAGAACGTACGTAGAAAAATGTGATTTGCTCTGACTGTTTTCTGCTATAACTTACAGGTTTTTCACAGCACCTTTCTTTTCTAGATACTGGTCTTTTAGGTTGATATTTCAGCCAAAAAATTATTTCAGAAATATATTATCTGTTGGTTCCAACAAACAGGTATGGGATTTAAAAAAACAAACAAACAAAAGAAATGTATGACATAGAAAGGACTATTTTAAATGTTAAATATGTAAATGGGGACTTTCCTTTCCAAATTGTCAAAGGGGAGCAAATATTTCATCTGTATCACGAGCTTCATAATGAACATGTCCATTCCTTAGACCTTAAATCAGGTGCAAGCAAAGTCCAACTCTCCTGAAAATGTTGGACCACAAATTCTAGGATTCTTTATTGTTAGTTATGCTAGATAGAGGAGATGGGAGTTGCAGTACTACAGTATCTAGATGGTTGCACTTTGCCCACTCTGCCTTAGATCTTGCTGATGGTGGCAGGGTGGCTGTTTCAGTTATTCTGTGGGAACCATTGTCGAGAATAGCTCTTTCCCCATCCCTTATTTTCCACATGTTTTTAGCACCAAAAGGTTGAGGCACCATCTTATGTGAGCAATCTGCCACTGTCTCATAAGCAGGCAAAGTGGTTGAATCACCAGCAGGAGCTCATGTGCCTTAGTAATGCAATTTGGTAATAGGTCTGGAGGAAAGAGCTGCATCCAAAATAGATTTGAAGTCAAGACGTCAGAAGAGGAGCACCTAATCCTTTCTCCATGCTGCTGTTCTGATTCCAGTTACTTTTCCTAGGAATATTTTTTTCTCCTCATTAGATTCAGAATGTGAATGTATCCATTTTCAATTGGTTTAACCCAGGGGTTTGCAAACTTTTTATGCTGAGGGCTGGTTCACGTTTGAAAAAAAAATGAACAAATTCCTATGCACATTGCACGTATCTTATTTGCAGTGCAAAAAAAAAAAACCATGAAAGATCAGTACAATATTTAAAACAAAGAACAATATTAACCAAAATAAACTTACCAGTATTTCAATGGGAATGGTGGGCCTGCTTTTGTCTAATCAGATAGTAAAGTTAATTAGGATTGTTGTTGTTGTGTGCCTTCAACCCTAAGTCTAAAGCTTAGGCTGGGAGCCAGGTAAATGACCTTAAAGGGCTGCATCCGGCTCACAGACTTTCATTTGGAGACTCCTGATTTAGACAATTGGGGGGGGGGGGATTTAGAGCAAAAATGCTGTTAATGGAAAGAAGCAGGGGATGGTCAAAACATATTATCTCTTCTTCATTCCCTGAACGTGAGCAAGTCACTTATCTTGTTTGTATATCCCATTTTTTTGTTTCTGCTTTGCTTTGAGAAACTGCAGCTGAGTTAAAGTACATCACAATTATAGATGTACCTATTAACAGGTGTAGGTTTGAGTGATTTCAGTGGGTCTTGCTCCCAATGAAATATGTGCAAGATTGTAGCACCAGTCAACTGACCAGTTGGGGGTTAATTTTAAGCTAAATTTGAAATGGCACTGAAGAGCAGTTTCTTAGGCAGGCCTATCCAGGTTACTTTTAAATTACAAATTTTGAACTCTGTTTTTAATATGCATTGGCTTTATATGCTCCTTTAACTGTGTTATGTGTTAACCATCTGTTATAGTTCTTCAACTTGATCCATAGGAAGAGGAGGGAAAGAAATTAGTATTATTGGCCACAATACCACATTGCCTTTATGTATATGCATAAGCTCTGCAATCATGATGGTTATGCAGTGAATTCAGACTTGATCCTCCCATTTTCCACATAGTGGGCAGCAGCAGCAATCTCTCTTATTGCTTGGAATACAGCTCTGCCATTTCTGCTTCCTTCAGGATATATTTTGTAATTCCCCTTTGCACTGGTCATTGCTCTCACAAGAACAGCAAGAATAGTAACTAGTTGCTTCCTGAGCCACATAGGAACAGCTCTCCATTGATTTCAGTGGTAATTGCTCAATAAGTACATATTGTGGGACTTTTATAGTACCTAACTAGCCCCAAACTAGGGATTATATAGGGACCATGAATACAAAACACATGTATGTAACACCAAGTTACACTTTCCTAACTGCCATGCAAGATTCTGGTCCTTACTATGCTGTGAAGTAGTATAGGTGAGCATTAAGAGCACATTCATTTTTAAATTATTTATTATAATAAAAGGATAATTAATATTTCAAAATATTATCCACACTCTAAACAATGAGTGACATATTTGTTTATTAAATAATATGCTATTGTGCTTCCTTCAATATCTCATGGTCTCAAATTTCTGTTTTGTTTTTAGAACTGATACATCACATGGACGAAGTCAATGATGAGCTGTTGAAAAAGATTTCCAATATCAAAGTCCAGGCCCCACCAAGAAATTTTAAAGTTGAGAAGGCTCAGCATGTTCATGCGCCCTTGACTTTTGAGTCCAATGCAGAGGAGGTCAAAGCTTGGCTGGAAGCAAATTCTTTCAGCAAAGGGTGAGTTTCCATGAATCACTTACAGCTCTCCCCACCATTCTCTTTCTTCACGGGTCTCTTTGGGACAGGTGGCAACTTGGGATAGGAAAAGAGAAAAATTTCTTAACAAATAGCTCATTTGTGTAATCAGAGCCCGGATATGTTTGTAGCAGCACTAACTAGTTGACATTAAAGCAATCCAATACATACATCCTAAGATATGTGTGTGTTAATCTGTTGATTCCATTATGTTGCAAATTGAATATGTCACAAAACAATCAGAAACACACACAGTTAAACACTCTATGTGGGGTGGAGATGTAGGGTCTCCTGAATGAATGTATTTCACATCAGAGATCAAAATTCTCATTTTGGACTACAACTTCCAAAAGCCTATTGGGGATTGGGGATGTTGTAAAAGTAGCTTTTTCCCAAGTTCTTAATCATATGTTCTACAAACTAAATAGAAATGAAAACAATACTTTTCTTAAATTCCTCACCTCTCCCAGAAAGTACTTGGAAGTTGTCTAGGAATCCTTCCCAGTCAAATAGGTCATGAAGTGACAGACATGACCTACCAGCATTGTAAATTTTGGATCCACTTAGCAATTATTGTCCTTTGACAAAGTAAGCTGTTGGGGGGCCCTCCCTTTCTAGCCGCCTTTCTTTCCTCTCTAAAATAGTAAGAATTTAAATATTGTGTCTTACTTAACCTTTTTCCAGGACTGTGGCTCATCTTGGGATACTGACAGGGGCACAGCTTTTTTCTCTGAATAAAGAAGAATTGAAAAAAGTATGCGGAGAAGAGGGTGCCAGAGTGTATAGTAAAATAACAGTTCAGAAGTCTCTCCTAGAGGTAAACACTTCCATTGTTTCCAGAGCAAAAAGAGTTAGAGGTTCCTAAGATAGCAGACACATTAAAACTCCATCTAAACTATGAAATCGGTAGTCAGATTGTAGCACCTGTTATATTCGTTGGAGAGAGATCCTAAAAACATTTCTAGGAATCTGGGTAGCACAAACTATGGAATGCCTGATTTAATTTAATTTAACTATGCTAGCTTGCTACAGGCAGGATTAACAGAATGAGCAAAAATAGAAATTTGGTGAGGGAAGGGTATCAGTAATTAAGATCAGTGTTCTGCCACACATCTGAAAGTAAGGAACACCAGGCTTAAATATTCTTATTTAATAATATTAAACTTTATTTGTATTCCGCCCTATCTCCCCAAGGGTACTCAGCGGGGGTTTCCAACATATAAGGCAAAACATTCCAGTGCCCCAAATAAAAAATTACAGATTAATTAAAACAGAGTATCATTTAGTTCCAACTAGACAAGTCATCAAATCAACCAAATTTACTTATGTATTGACTAACTCTTCAACAATTTGTTAAATGGGCCAATGTAGTTGGGACAAACCAATAGGATGCTAGTCAATGATTGCAAAACAACAAAAACTGATTGATTTTTTTTAGAGAAAAAACAAGAATTTAAATATTTTCACTGCTTTTAGACAGGATGTCATTACATAAAATGCTATTATGATGCAACTGTGTGGCATAATTTTAAATTTTGGATGGTACAAAGACATTCACACAAATGATTGTCAACATACCATCAGCATGCTTTTACATACTTTCTGTTATGGTAGCAAACATCTGGCGTTATACTATTAAAATTAGTCTAACAAAACCACAAATAAAGGACAGATCTAGACTTTTTAAAAATTACTTTTATATTGAACATTTGAGAATTCACGGTGGAGTATGAAACTGGAAGCAGAAAGCTAGGTTTAGAAAGTTTAGAAACAAAATAATAGAAACATTTCATAAACTAAACAAAGAATGAGGCACTTGCAATTTCTTGTCTCGAAGTTAAGAACACTGTTCACCCATTTCCCCCCAAATATCGACATTTGAGTGACTGCTTAGATTTTGTGGTATTGATATTCTCTAATCTAGGGATTAAGGGTGTGTAGGCTTCCAGATGCTGTTGCATTGCAACTTCCATTATCTCTTAATGTTGATCAGGCTGGCTAGGTTTGATGGAAGTCCAACAACTAGAAGATCACATGTTCCAGTGTTTTGATCAACAGTAGAAAATGAGGAAGACTATCTTATAGATGGAGAGACTTGTTCAAGGAAGCCATAGTCCTAAGTTTGCAGAACATGGGGAGAGTAGCTGATGACAGAGTGTATTAGTGGCCACTCAATCCACTTTATGGCCAATGCTAACAGGATAAAGTGATCATTGTCAGAAGCACAGATTTGCTTGGAAAGATGTTGTTATGACGGCAATTCCATCCTTACAGAGGATACTGAAAATATCATGCATGTTCTGACAGAGGCACATATACATTCTTTCTTATAACTAGTGGATGTGTTGTGGGTTGAGAAATGGATTGATGCAATTTGGAAGTGAGCAGATAAAGTTGGCCCTACCCATATGAAGGATTCACTTTTGCAGATTTGATTATTAAGGGTTTGATTAATACACTCTCTCCAGGGATCTGTAGGTCCTGCAGTGACCTAGAGTCATGCTGGAAGATCAAGAAATTCCTTGAGTGAGAACACTTTTCTGTCTTTTGTAAGACAATTGCTTTGAGTGCTATTTTCCTGCTGCTTGGCAGGGGGCTGGACTGGGTGGCCCACAAGGTGTCTTCCAACTCTATGATTCTATGATCCAGCACAATTCTATGTACAACTTCCAGCAGACATTGACCACAGAGTCAAACTGAAGGACCTATAGATTCCTAGAGTTGTTCTGTCATGTAAAAACATGGAGTTTTTGATTTATTGTGTTTTCATTTTTGTGGGGCCCTGTACCCCTAACCCCAGTGCAAATTGAGGGTTGACTGTATAGTGATAGTAAGTAAGAGGTGTTCCCATATAATCTGTTGCACTAATCTGTATAAGATAATATATTGAAAATGGAATAATTTAATTACAAAGGTCACCATTCTTTATCTTTTGTGCTTCTATTGCAGAAAAGCAGAGGGGAGTCAGAACTTCAAGAAATCATGAAGCGACGCCAAGAGAGGATTGATTCAGCAATTTAAATTCTTCCTGGTTTCTTTTTCCCAAAGCTATTAATCACATATACTTACTTGCAGAAAAAAGGGAAAGTGAGCAAAAGTAAAATAAAATGCCTTGTTAAAATGGAAAAGACTGCTGGGATCAGCAGCTAAGCAATGTAAATGGCCATCCAGACTGACTGTTCCTTCAGCACTGTTGATAAAGGGGAGGCTATGGTTTTCTCATAAATGTCACATGACATTGCATTGGGAGAGAGGTTTAGTATTGCATGAAGTATTATTTTTATATCTCTGTATTTTATAGATAAATGTTATGTGTGTGAAATTCATCGCACAAGGAAGACCAGCATTCATGTTCTAGGCAAAGGCTGAAGCAAAATGCCCTGACAAAAATCTATGCAGTAGATTGCTACTATCAGTAAGCTTCTTAGAAACCTCTGTAAACATTGCTATAAATCTACACAAACCTTCAGAGGCCCTGTGTTTTGAAGATGGTGTGTTCCCATGCCTCTCCTATACAACAGGAGTAACCCAGTACAAAGGAGTGAGGAGGATCTACTGGGGCCAATGTTCTGACATGTAAAAACCCAACAAACACATGACAAGGTGGTGATCAACTGACACACAAATGATTTCAGTTTGCTTTGGATGTTTTCCCAGAACGAACTCAGCCAACAGCTCAACTTCTTTGTTTCCAACATTCGTGCTTTATTGCTTTTAGATACCATCAAAAGGACATATGGAATGCCTCATGTACCAAACATGTCCAAGGACAATTCCAGTATAACCATTAGTTGATTCGCCCCCACAGTATGGGGGAGGGGGGCTGAATGTGAAATTACTACATTCCACACATAAATATATTTGGAATTTATGTACGCCATAAAAATGTTGTCCAAATACGCCCTGTCACATTCACAACTTCACAATATCTGCCATCGTATTTGAACCAGTCCTGAATGTCTTCAGAGTATTACTTACGCAATCACAGTAAATACTATTTTGACCCTGAAGTGATCATAGGGAGGATCTGTCAATATGTTAATGTAGATCAGTTTCAAATTATGCAAAAGGGAATCTCAAGATGGTGAAAGCAGATCACATCTGATTAGGCCCAGCAATTTGCATAACCATGTTACTATACAACACAGATATAATTAGAATTGCCTCTTCCCATGCCATCCCTCCATGCTACAGAATCCTGGGATTGATAGTTTGGTGGTAATTGCAAGTGCCTCACTGAAGTACCAATCTCAGGATAAAGTGGTTTAATACTGCAACAACTGTGCAGTGTGTACAATGCACCTGCAATATGCTGTTACTGTAGCACCATTAACCACAATTGTATCATTCTACGGGATCCCGGATTTGTGGTTTGGTGAGGCACATGGAATTTTTACCAGTATTACAGGAAATGGCTGACATGTCTACTCAAATGAAAATCCCATTGAATTCAGTAGGATTTTCTCCTTGAGCCTGACATCTACTGATAGTCCCAGCTAGAATAGACCCATTGAATCAGTTGTTTTATAAATCCCCCTGATTCATTGGATCTACAAATTGATATTGTCAATGGGATTTTGTTTTTCCTCTATTTACTGATTACTATTCTCCAGGCATACTTTAGAATGAAAGATTGATATTTCGCTGAAAAGGTTAGAATAACATCTCTCTCCTTCTCTTCATAATATGCTTAAAACTCCTAAATTCTGCAAAGGGCCTAAATACCCTCATCTTGGAAGCTAAACTGAGTCAGTCCTGATTAGTATTTGGATGAGAGACTACCAATGAATAGCAGGTGCTGTAGGCTGTATTTTAGGGAAAGGGACTGGGTATTCCTTGCCTTAGAAAATCCTATGAAATACATAAAGTTACTACACATTGACAGGCAACTTGAAGGCACATGCATACATAATTCCTTTTAGAAAAAGGTGGGGCTCAGATGAAGGGCAAATATATTCAAATTTCCTGACTGGTGAATGCTTTGATTTGTTTATTTCACTTTGTCCACCATTTAATCATAGGGGATCGGCCCAGATTAGCTGTGTTTGCCTTGGCATTTGTCCTTGATTTAGGAGCCGCAACACACCCAACTAATGAGAGATGAGTCAGAAAATTAGATTTAATTCCTACTTGAAGTGCATTCACCACCCTTAGTGTGTAGAGACAAGGAAGTGTGCTGAATCCAAGGTTACACATTAAAGGGAGGATGGGCCTCCATTTGTGGAAGGAAGGGGCCAATCCCCCCTCTCCCTGTATGCCCTCTATGCTTCTAGAGCTAGCCTGGGTGTGAAGAAAACCCCTCTAGAGCCAGTTTCTGGTGCCCTGGGGAGTTGTAAAAAGGAAGAGAGGGAGAGAATCTTGCAATATCGATTAGAAGTCAGTTGAATTTTGTCCCACATGGCCTCTGGGGCAAATTGGTTTGGGTCTAGGGAATACAGGCTTTTTGCCCTGGGATACAAGCAAGATAGGTTCTGTAGGTTTGTTCTTAAGCTGCATTTCTACGGGTACATTTTTAAGTGTAACTCTAGCCAATTTGTTTTAATTTTTGGTGAACATAGGGAAGGGTTAACACCCCATGACATTTATTTTGCTGTCTATGCCGCTGTTCAGAATATTTCACCCACTTTCTGTCTTTATGACAATTGGATTTTGGAAATTTTGAGTGTGTCGTAGACTCAAGGATTGGTGGCAAAGCTTCAGTGGAGTCATCAGTTTCCAACAATCATTCTTACAGGGGTGTACTTCTCTTCCTAGGAGTAGATTTCCTCTCACTTCCTGTTGTCTCACCCTGTTTGTAACTACATGTTGTATGTAAGTCAGATGTTTGTAACTCGGGGACTGCATGTACTATAATAAGAGAAAGAAAAAAAACAAGAATGTGTATATAGTAGACACTGTACTTCAGGGGTCCTCAAACTAAGCCCTCCAAGATCATTTACTCGGCCCTCTCTCAGGGTCAACCTAAGTGTGAAACAACTTGAAAGCAGACAACAATGACAACAATCATATCTCATCAGCCAAAAGCAGGCCCACACTTCCCATTGAAATACTAATAAGTTTATATTTTGTTAAAAAAAATTCTTCATTTAATTATTGTATTGTTTTTAAGTGTTTTTTGCACTACAAATAAGATATGTGCAGTGTGCAGAGGAATTCATTCATGTTCTTTTCAAATTACAATCTGGCCCTTCAACAATTTGAGGGACTGTGACCTGGCCCTCTGTTTAAAAGGTTTGAGGACCCCTGCTGTACTTGCTAAGAATAAGATCATAGAGAGACATCCCAATTGTATTTTTATCATTTAAAAAAATCTTCCAGTTATTTGAATACTTGGACTGGTTAAAAATTGAGTTCTTTAAGATGTAGGTATCATTCGACATCCTGCCTTTTGTACAATTAGTTGTTTCTTTTGATTGCTTTGGTAGAAGCCAAACCTCACAAAACTCTTACATGTTTTGTCTTGTTTGGCTGATGTTATATTGCTTCCTTCCAATCTACTTCTACCACACTAGTTTAGCCATGCATTGCAAAATATGCATTTGTCTTGAAACAATGTTCTGTAACAATAACCACAGATGGTGATGGTGAATAAAAGTACACTTTAGCGGTACTATTCTGGCACATCTGAAAATGGAAACCAAATTTTGTATAAACAAAATTTGATGTTAGATAAGATTTTATTTGGAGTTCAAAAATCTCAGAATATAAATTTAAGCTACAATCCTTGAAAGACATTTAATGGGCACATTATATGTGGTCCCAAAGAAACTCTTCCTCTGCATGCCTAGAAAATCTTACAAGGCCTTACCTTTATAAAATATACACATGGCTGCCGAATGTTTTTCCATCTGCTATTAATATTTGTACATTAGCCACAGTGGTTTTAGATAATCTGTACATAATTATTTAGGCAATGTTCATAATAGAAACAAAAAATGAAGATATGACATTTATGTTCACATTCTATATTATATTTTAAAGCTAGCTGTGCAGATGTAACTTAAATCATATATTAAAAATCAGAGCTAGTAGAACATATATATTGTATATGAAGCTGACAAATATTGAGACGACAGAATATGCACTTATTTTGTTTAACTATAGTCCAGACGTACAGAGCACACAAAGCAAAGAGACTGCTTGTTATGTGGAGTGGTGGCAATAATAGAAATCCCAATAAGGAGAACAAGAACACACATCATTGAACTGCTTGGGCAAAGGGTGAGATGCAACTGTAACAACTGAATAAATGGCTCTGTCTTTATCTTTCAATGTGTCTTTGTGTTAATACCATTGGGGATTTTAGATAAAGAAAACATGTGGCTCACATTTGAAGAGCAATCCTGTGTGGGAGGGAGACACAATGGTAAAGGAGGGACTTTTTTCTATGCCTGCTTAGCCCAGATTTGAAGGACCCCAGCTTTTTTCTTCCCTCTGCCCCTTTAATGTTATTTTAAAACATTTTCTGTTCAATTGCTCTCCATAAGGAGAACTGGTTACAACCAGCATCTTGGCTGCTGTAGTCTCACTACTGTTGGTTGGTTGCTTCCATAGCAATGAGTCAATGGATTTTTTTACAAACTGGGTAGATGCAGGGAATGCCGTGGATGTAGCGTATCTGGATTTCAGTAAGGCCTTCAACAAGGTCCCCCATGACCTTCTGGCAAACAAACTAGTCCAATGTGGGCTAGGCAAAACTACGGTGAGGTGGATCTGTAATTGGTTAAATGGACGAACCCATCTTTCCAGGATGAAGAGGAAGCATTGGTGAGCACCAGAGGGTGCTCACCAATGCTTCCTCTTCATCCTGGAAAGAAGTGACAAGTGGAGTGCCGCAGGGTTCCGTCCTGGGCCCGGTCCTGTTCAACATCTTTATTAATGACTTAGACGAAGACTTAGAAGGCAGGGTCATCAAGTTTACAGACGACACCAAATTGGGATAGCCAATACTCCAGAGGACAGGAGCAGAATTCAAAACAATCTTGACAGATTAGAGAGATGGGCCAAAACAAAATGAAGTTCAACAGTGACAAATGCAAGATATTCCACTTAGGCAGAAAAAATGAAATGCAAAGATACAGAATGGGGGGGGGGGGAGTATGGCTTGAGAGCAGTATGTGTGAAAAAGATCTTGAGACAACAAGTTAAACATGAGCCAACAATGTGATGTGGCGGCAAAAAAAAGCCAATGGGATTTTGGCCTGCATCAATAGAAGCATAGTGTCTATGTCCAGGGAAATAATGCTACCCCTCTATTTTGCCTTGGTTAGACCACACCTGGAATATTGTGTCCAATTCTGGGCACCACAATTGACGAGAGATATTGACAAGCTGGAATGTGTCCAGAGGAGGGTGACTAAAATGATCAAGGGTCTGGAGAACAAGCCCTATGAGGAGCAGCTTAAAGAGCTGGGCATGTTTAGCCTGAAAAAGAGAAGGCTGAGAGGAGACATGATAGCCCTGTATAAATATATGAGAGGAAGTCATAGGGAGGAGGGAGCAAGCTTGTTTTCTACTGGCCTGGAGACTAGGACGTGGAACAATGGCTTCAAACTACAAGCAAGGACATTAGGAAGAATTTCCTGATTGTGAGAGCCATTCAGCAATGGAACTCTCTGCCCCGGAGTGTAGTGGGGGCTCCTTCTTTGGAAGCTTTTAAACAGAGGCTGGATGGCCATCTGTCAGGGGTGCTTTGAATGCAATTTTCCTGCTTCTTGGCAGGGGGTTGGACTAGATGGCCCATGAGGTCTCTTCCAACTCTATGATTCTACTTTAATCCATATCTTAGATAGAGCTTTCCAAGGTGCTGAAAATCCCATATTCCTCCCTGCAAATTGGATCAGTGTCTTAGGCAGACCCTTCAAATATTGTGGATTCACTATCCTAATATTATGGAGCCATCAGCTATGACTGAATTTCACTCCGTTCTGGTAATATTTCAGGGGAAGGAGTGGAATGGGGTAAAATATGGGAGTCTGGGGGTGGATGTATCCTCTTTAGATTCTATGGATTCACAAATTGATCCTACTTCTTTCTGCTCTCTTCTGCATTGGAATTGCAATAACTGTGGATCTTGCCACAGTTTAAAGTAGGAGGCTTGTAACATCCTATTTTCCTCTTCAAGGGTAACCTCAGAGATCAAGAAAATATATAAGCAAAAAACAGTGAATGATTAAATAAATAAATATTCTGTGTTCCAAGATGAATAAAACTGCTATCAATGAGATTGACTGCTGTACTGCAGTCAATGGAATTCACTGGTGTACTGCAATCAATCAAGAGTTGCTTTGGGTCTCAATCAAGAGAAAAAATGGGGAATAATATTAACAACAACATAGATCACATCCTTTACTACTGGTGGACTTCCTTAGTGGTGCTCTGTTATGGATACAGATGTAGTGAGAGATCAACCCGATCGCATATAAATCAATGGGGCAACCAGCATTGATGGAGGCTTCAAAAACCCCTGGTAGCAGCATTTGTAAAACCATTGTTGATTTAGTTGGGAGTCGTTGTAGCATATCACATTGAAAGCATAATCTTATCTCTGCAGGTTTATACATATTTACCCAACCAAACGGCTGGATTCATATAATGAACTGGGCATATGTACCTGCAAATGTAGCAAGTTGGTTTTAAAGTGAAAATAAACACATTATTTTGGTTTGGGTTCATTCCTAAAGTGTTACTAATTACAGTTTTGAGAGGCACCCTTATTTCAGTTGCTAGCCTGACAGAATTTTTACGTCGGTTTGTCACATTTCTATGTAATGTGTCCCACCTAAAATCAAATTGAGCCAATTTAGATATGTGGGTACACCTACATTAGTGAAATTCCATCTGTAGTGCTATAAACACTGAGCAATTTCTTATTCAGAATCACCTTGTTGAATTTTTAAAAACAATTTCCTCTTTGTTGCAGAAATTCATTGAAAATTCAATCTAAATGTTTGACACATGTAGCTTAAGATTTGTAAGATTTCTGAAGTCATAGTTTGAAATTGAAAAAAGACTTGACTGTTCTCTGCCAAGTGTTGCAAATGATATTATTGCTTCCAAAAGACACATATCAATGGGGAATTACATGAGAGAGTTAGGAAAACAGGCAGCAAGAAAAAATTAGTTACAAAGGGTGCACCCATACTATAGAATTAATGCAGTTCAACAGTGCTTTAAATGCCATGATTCCATGCAACGAAATCATGCCAGTTGTAGTTTTACAAGGTCTTCAGCCTTCTCGGTCAGAGTGCTGGTTGCCTCACCAAACTAAAAATCTCATGATGCTGTAGCACTGAGCCAGGATAGTTCAAGTGGTGTCAAGCTGCATTCATTCTACAGTGTAGATGTATCCTGAGAGGAAAAATATAGATGTGGGAAATAGCCCATTGTGCCAGCAACTATACAGTGACACAGCAGAAAAGGAAGAGAGAAAGAAGTAGAAACTGAATGCAAGCTTGTTTAAATAAAGTTCTTTGTTTTGTATAATTCCTTGTTGATTCTTAGTGGTGACTAACATCTCTTGAAAGGCGGGTGGAGGAGAATGGTAGCTAGTCTTTGTGCTGAGAAATTAGGAAGGGATTGCAAACAAAAAAAAAGTTAATCAGCTATTGATTTTACCCTGAATAGCCCCAAGCAGGACAAAAACAAAAAAAAAGAAATGGGTTCTGAGTTTTGAAAATACGAACAACCCTATAGCTCCAAACTGCATGAGATATAGGGGGTTGCTTGTGGGGAGACCATACCGTAACTGCAGTGACAATGAATGACACACAGTCCATTGACCTGTAAGCACTGGGAATCACTCTCCAAGCAAGGAATACATTGGGAGATTCTGGAAAGTAATTCTACAGCCTTTAGCAATGGTTGTCTTACACGCTGGACTTCTGAAAACAAGGTCACTCACAGTAGCAAAACGAGATGCTCTTTCTTGTGGTCTTTTCCCAATCATTCATGAACAAAACTTGATCCACTAAAAGGAACTGCGACCATATGTTCTCACTTGCTTGGGATCCAGAGAAGCCCAATCTAAGAAATTCACAATGTAAGCAGCTATTAACATCTTCTTAACCGGAGCAAGAAAATGTTCCTTTGGCAGCATGATCACATTTAAAATGTTCATTAGAATTTCTAAATAAGAAGGCGGTTTTTGGGCTCTGGACTTACTTAGCAAAATCAACTCCATATGAATCCCTAGGACCTAAGAGATTTACCTAAGATATCTGCCTTTTTGAGCCTGAAAAGAATAAACTTTTCAATTTTAAAGGGAATTACTCTGGTGCTGCTAATGAAAGAGGACATTTTATTGTATTTCTTTCACTGCCTTTGTTTCAACTCCTTTTAAGGCCAATAAGGGCTGTGGACTGTCCCTTGATAGCATCTTATGGTTCAGTTCAGTTAGGCGATCTCTTGTTCTCTGAGTTTGATGGCCTTCCAAGTGTAGTGGATACATAGGTGACTGTGGACCCTATTCTTGATCCGCATGTTCTTCCACAGTGAGGGCATTGGTTTCCAGGTGGAAGGTGGTCCAGGTTGGCTTGCTGCACTTTCCTCTTGGCATGTTTCTCCCTTTTGCCCTCCATTCACGCTTCTTTGAATTCCACAGCACTGCTGGTCGCAGCTGACCTCCAGTTAGAGCACTCAAGGGCAGGGCTTCCCAGTTCTCAGTATCTATGCCACAGTTTATAATAATAATAATAATAATAATGACAACAACAACTTTATTTTTATACCCTGCCTAGGTCCTCAAAAGTGATGTCCTCCAACATCAACTCCGCTGGGCCGGCCACGTTGTCCGGATGCCTGACCACCGTCTCCCAAAGCAGTTGCTCTACTCTGAACTTAAGAACGGAAAACGGAACGTTGGTGGACAGGAAAAGACATTTAAAGATGGCCTCAAACTCAGCCTTAAAATCTCTGGCATAGACACTGAGAACTGGGAAGCCCTGGCCCTTGAGTGCTCCAGCTGGAGGTCGGCTGTGACCAGCAGTGCTGCAGAATTCGAGGAGGCACGAGTGGAGGGTGAAAGAGAGAAACGTGCCAGGAGGAAGGCGGGTCAAGCCAACCCCGACCGGGACTGCCTTCCACCTGGAAACCAATGCCCACACTGCGGAAGAAGATGCAGAGCAAGAATAGGGCTCCACAGCCACATGCGGACCCACAAGGAAACCCATAATGGAAGACCATCTTACTCGTCCAACGAGGGATCGCCTAAGTAAGTACCCTGCCTACGGGTGGCTTACAGAAGGACAAGCCCAAGGATTACATCTGTATCGAAGAACTGCGGCTATCTGACCCCATTTTGGCTATGGGATCGTGGCAGCTGTAGTTTGCCTTCTGTGCCTGTACCACACCAAACTAAAACTCCCAGGATTCTATACCATTGAGACATGGCGGTTAAAGTGGAGTCAAAGAAGAGTGTACACATGCACCCTGCCAAGCGGGAGGATATAAATGAACTGCGCATGCGCCTTCCCTTTTCTCCTCGCCTGCTGCGATTGGCCAGGTCCCTCCCCTCACGCGCCTGCCATCAGCTCTGCCAGTGGCCTTCTCGCCCGACAGTCAGCTATTTATTTATCGTGTCATCAGCAACCATTGTATTACAATTCTAACAGAGCAAAACAAACACAGAGATTAAAAAGAAAAAGAAAAAAAAAGAAAGGAAAAAAACCACACAGATTTTGTAAATTTGGTATTTGGTTAAATGTCCTTTGACTAGTATCTGGCCACTTGGAGTGCCTCTGGGGTTGCCGCAAGAAGGTCCTCCATCGTGCATGTGGCAGGGCTCAGGGTGCATTGCAGCAGGTGGTCAGTGGTTTGTTCTTCTCCGCACTCGCATGCCGAGGATTCCACCCTGTAGCCCCATTTCTTAAGATTGGCTCTGCATCTTGTGGTGCCAGAGCGCAATCTGTTCAGCGCCTTCCAAGTCGCCCAGTCTTCTGAGTGCGCAGGGGGGAGTCTCTCATCTGGTATCACCCATGGATTGAGGTGCTGGGTTTGGGCCTGCCACTTTGGGACTCTCGCTTGCTGGGGTGTTCCAGCGAGTGTCTCTGTAGATCTAAGAAAACTATGTCTTGATTTAAGTCGTTGACGTGCTGGCTGATACCCAAACAGGGGATGAGCTGGAGATGTCTCTGCCTTGGTCCTTTCACTATTGGCTGCTACTTCCCGGCGGATGTCAGGTGGTGCAATACCGGCTAAGCAGTGTAATTTCTCCAGTGGTGTGGGGCGCAGACACCCGTGATAATGCGGACAGTCAGCTGAGAGTCTCCCATTGGCTGTGGAGGAGACCCGGAATGCGGAAGATGGCTGGTGAAAACCTTTAGCGCACATGCGCAAGACTCCCCCGCCTCGAGAGAAGGGGTGTGTGAGAGAAGGTTTGGGCGTTACCCTTCGGCGGGGAAGAGGATGGAGGAACCAGCCTCTGTCTGGCTCGTGGGAGGAGACCCGCCCCGCTCCGCCCCTTCCTGGTCCCTCTCGCGCACTCACTTCACCAAACGCCAACGGCAGCAGGGCTGTGGAGTGGCGCGAGCCAGGAGGGAAAAAAAGCGCATAAAAGAAGACGAGCAGGAAGGCAGGGCGCGCGAGCCAGCCTCTCCCGGGTCAGCTCCCCTCCTGCCCCGGATATAAAAGACCCCGGCGAGGAGCAGTTGAGAACGGGTCATGTCAGTGTCGCCCGTCAAGAAGCCGAAGATGGAGTCGGCGCTGGAGCAGCTCAAGCAGCACACCACGGTGGTGGCCGACACTGGGGACTTCAATGGTGAGGAGGAGGAGGAGGAGGGGAAAAGAAAAGAAGAAGGCTCTTCTGCTTGCCTGTTTGTCTCTCTTTTGCTCCACAAGCGGCCCCTTCCGGGTGTGGGCTGAGGAAGGCAGGCAGGCGCCATTCCCAGCGGATATGACCCCCTTGGCCTGGTCTGCCTGCTTTCAGAAGCATTTGGGCGGCAAGCCTTCAGGGCAGGCGTGGCAAACGTGGGCCCTCCAGGTGTTTGGGACTTCCACATTTCCGAATGTATTTATTTACGACATTTATATGCCGCCCTTCTCACCCCAAAGGGGACTCAGAGCGGCTTAAAAGATATATATATATACACACACACACAAACACACACACACAATACATTATATTATTAGCGTCGTACAATATCAGTATTATATATTACTATATTGTACTATACCGTTATATTGTAATAGTATTAGTAATATTACATGTAATATAAAACATATAATTATAATATCATAGTATTAGTATTTGAAGTGACTGGCTTGACTTTGAAGGAGCTGGGGGAGGAGACGGCCGACAGGGAGCTCTGGTCCATGAGGTCACAAAGAGTCAGAAGCGACTGAACGAATAAACAACAAAGTATTAGTATTCTATTGTCTTATAAATATATAATAGTCATTCCAAGGAATTGTGGGAGTTGAAGTCCTAAACCAAGCATCCGCAAACTGCAGCCCTCCAGCTGTTTGGGCCTCCAACTCCCAGAAGCCCTAACAAGCTTGTTCAGTTCTCAGGAATTTTGGGAGTTGAAGGCCTAAACACCTGGGGGGGGGGCAAGTTTGCTCATACCTGCCTCGAAGGCACCAGATTCTGTCGGATTGCAGAAGCTAAGTCAGGTCAGCCCTGGCTGGGACTTGGGTGGGAGACTGTCGCAGTGTAATTAAAAGGGTTCTATATGTGGCAGTATAAACAACCCCTTTCTCAGCAGAAGCTCTCCCTCTCCCATTTAAGGAGTAGACATACAACAGTTGTCTTTGTAGTAGAAAAAGGACTTTATTCAAAGGAATGTTTAGAATACAGGAACTCTTCTCAAACCTTTCTGCCATCAATTCCGAAGCAGTTGAAGTCTTCTTGCTTGCAAAAGCCTTTTCCTTCTTCTTCAGGAACTTCACAACAACACTAAACCTCAACATTAACCCTTAAACAACATAGAACAGTGTTCCTCAAACTCTGCTTCTCCAGGTGTTTTGGACTTCAGCTCCCAGAAATCCCAGCCATCTTCCCAGCTCTTAGGAATTGTGGGAGCTGAGTCCAAAACATTTGGAGGAACAGAGTTTGAGAAACACTGACATAGAAGCTTGGTACTCCTTTAGTACTTCTACAACTGCTCTACCATGGCAGCAAATTACATAAGATGAACCAGGTGGATTGATTCTCATTACTCACAGCATGCTTGGGTCTGATTCTTACATTTATTTACATTAACTTTAGAAATGACATACTTCAAAATTACGACAGACCACCAAAAATGCCAGGTTTTGTAGGCTATATTTCGGAGGATGAAATCGGCAAATCACCTCTTGGGTCTTCCATGCCTAAGAAAACCCTAACTGCTGAGCTCTAAACTTGCTGACTGAAAGGTTGGTGGTTCGAATCCGATGAGTGGGGTGAGCTCCCGCTGTTAGCCCCAGCTTCTGCCAACCTAGCAGTTTGAAAACATGCAAATGTGAGTAGATCAATAGGTACCGCTCCAGCGGGAAGGTAATGGTGCTCCATGCAGCCATGCCGGCCACATGACCTTGGATGTGTCTATGAGCAATGCTGGCTCTTCGGCTTAGAAATGGAGATGAGCACCACCCTCCAGAGTCAGACACGACTAGACTTAATGTCAAGGGAAACCTTTTTTAAAGTCAACTTGAAAGCACAAACACACCCAAATGAGAATCGGAACGTAATTTCAGGAACCTGGGGACTAGATGATGGCATGTGGTGGATAAGGAGTTGGCTAGGCTTCAGTTTAGGAGATTAAGGAGGCTTTCAGTATGGAGGCCTGCTGAGCCAATCGCCTCAGGACTGATTGGAGAGGGAAGGGCAGTTCTGGTGGTAGTTGCAACTTGCCTGTCTCCACTTCTGACTTGCTGAATAGTTTGTGTAAGAGGTCAAGGTTTATACTTGTATTCCTGTGGATTTTGTTCTGTTGTGTTTTAAACGGATGTCCCAACCAGAAAATTACCATAATTTTTATTGTTTCCTCCATTAAATATTTGTAAATTGAGATAATCTGAATATATTCATGCCTTTAATTTAAGGTGGAGCTGTGTGTATGATATATAGTTGTACAAATTGGTACAGGCTGCAAAATTCAGTGCTCCTTTATTTGTTATGAGGAATAGTCAACGTCCACAATTACTCAGGAATAAATATGAAAGAGGAACTCTTAAACAAGCAAGGAGTGTTTTGTAAATAGCCTTGTGAAAGTCTTGGACATACATTCATTACTTCATGATTGATTGCGTCCTGCTGATGGGTAATGAGTTAGCATGTTGAGATAGGACAAAGTCCTCTGTTAGACTTAAGACTTATAGGATGCACAGTTTATGCTTTAAGTTATGTTAAATTTCACATAAATCAAAAATATTCCATAAAAGAATATTTGAAGCACCATGGAAAGGGAAGGATGAGATTTATGGAGAGAGAAAAATGTAGTAGAACTAGAAATATACGAAATATTTATAGTTTTGAGTGGATTTCAGTTAGTGAAATAAGTAGTGTCAAAGAGGGACAAAACCATGTGGCCCCAAACCAGTGTAAGTAGTTTCTTTGTCAGTAATGTGAAACCAATATTGTGCTTGAGGACTGCTATGAATTAGTTGTTTAACTCAAGAAACATCATAAAATGCATTTTAAAATGCCACACAAGTGGCTGGAGCTACTACAATTCTATAGTGCCTTTTGTGCAACTTTGGAGATAAATTTAGCCTGTCTGCAACTTATGTTTGCAAATGATTATCCAAGTAGCGATATTTCATTTTACAATATGCTCAGGAATGTCGAGCTGCACTTTTGCTATGCAAAATCTATTTTTCCCATTTAGATACCATGGATTTTCAAGGACATTGAGCATTGTAGCAGACATCAGTAACATTTGCTCTTATGGCATGTTGCACAATGCAACATACTAATCTGGACAGAGTAAATACCATGATGTCTTCATGTCACTGTGAATATGCCAGATCTGTCCATTATCTTCCTTTCTCTGCCCAATTTGCTTTGTTTTGTAAATGGCTTCTATTTTGTGAGGGCATATGGTAGAGGAGCACCTGACATGTGGCTAGCATGGTAACTCATGGTAATAGTTTTTAGAAGCATGTGTTGATGGCCTCTGATCAAAAATAATTTCAGGAGCAGAACACCATAAGCAGGCAGTGGTGTTACACTTGTGTAGGAGAATTGTAATGACAACTATGCAGAACATCTAGTAGTTACAGGAGAATATCTTGCAGACATAGTTGTCAGGCCACATATTTTAGTCAACCATGGGGCTGAGATCACAGTGATTAATCAATTAGTATAACTCCTCATGAAACATGATCATGGTAGGAGTTTACATCAATCCATCCACCTTATTTCTGTCTAATGCTCTTGTTGTATTTGATCTGACACATTTCTTGGGTCATAGGTGTTTGTTGCAGTGTATCTATTTTAATAGTAACAATACTTCTCACTAAACTTCGCATGGCTCTCCCTTTTATTTGTATAGTGATAACTGGTATCGGTAAAACCTTTGGCTATTATTTAGTAAATGAAAAGACTTTTTTCTGAATACTGTTTCCTTGACATAGTTGAACAGTCAAAAGAAGGGTCAGAAGGCAAAACTTAACAGACCATTAAGAAACCCCCTGTGGCTCAATAAGTTAAACCCTTGTGCCGGCAGGACTGCTGACCGAAAGGAGAGCGGGGTGAGCTCTCATCTGTCAGCTCCAGCTTCCCATGTGGAAACATAAGAGAAGCCTCCCACAGGATAGTAAAACATTCGGGCATCCCCTGGGCAACGTCCTTGCAGTTGGTCAATTTTCTCATACCAGAAGCGACTTCCGATTTCTCAAGTCGCTCCCGACACGGAAGAAAAAAACAAACCACTGACCAATTTTTAGTGGTAAACACGGCGCATAGTGATTGCTGGGATTCCTGAAAGCCAAAGCATAATCAGATTAATTTGCCTTCTCTTGGAGATCATGAGAATACACTTTTGCTTTTTACATTTTAAAAAAGAGGGGGTAGACTAAATTTATTGTTAATCTTAGTTAAATCATCAGTTTATTTTGCTTTACTGTCTTATTATTTTGTCCCCCTAGGAAGCCTTGGTCAAATACACAAATATAAAGAAGTCTTCAATCATTTGATAATTTTACCAATGTTTCCTACAGCCTATTAATAATATAATGTTGTGAATTCATCAATAAGAGTCTGGTTTCATTTGTTCATTTACTTGCCTGTTTGCATTTTGTAATATCTTCTGATAGAAAAGCAGGTTTGTTGCTGAACAGTCAAGGTTGTTTTTATGAACATCAGGAAAATCATCAAGTACTGTTTCACTAAAGAGATATCTGTAACATGTTCAGTGACTACGTTTTCAGTTCAGTTTTTTAGCAGCCAAGAATCCCAAGCCTATTTAGTGCTTTGCATATGTACGATTCCATTCAGTAGTTGGTTTCAACCACTGTTAAGAAGTCTAGTTATGCAAACTGTTTGCATGTGGACTTCCTTGTTTACAAAGAATGAGGAAGCTATTTTCCAATCTCACGCAGAGTACCTCCTTGCATTACTAATCTAAGTAAATAAATTCAAAAATTATGGTACCATTCTACAGTAGGCAGCAAACTGAGCAAAATACTCCATCACATGGTGGAACAGATCATGTATGTTTGAGTATTTGACCAAGGCTTCCTATTGTGACAGATAATTTGTCTGTATTTTTTGTTCTCCTTGTGCACAGTAATTTTATGACCAGTTTCCAGGTTTGGCCACAGTCTCTACTCCCATCAAGAGAAAGCATCTGCTTAATGAATATTGACAAGGGATTCTATTGAGTGAATAGCTAGTAAACCAAGTTGCTCCATCTTACTGAATATCCTTTTCAATATTATTGTTAAGCTGGCTAGCCTATTTTTATTTGCTTTGCCCCCATAGCTATTGAGGAATATAAGCCCCTGGATGCTACTACCAATCCTTCGCTGATATTAGCAGCAGCTCAGATGCCATCCTATCAGCAGTTGGTTGAAGATGCTATAAAATATGGGAAGAAACTTGGTGGGTAAGTCTGGCTTTGTTGGCTTTATACCCCACTCTTCTCTTAGGATGGGATAATGTTCATACATGCCTTCCAAATGTACCAGCATTTGTGTTTTTTAGTTCCCACTGCCAATTATTTTTAACAAGTCATGGTGTCAGACCAAGATTGGAACATGGGTCTAAGATTGCATTCATTCCCAATTTGTTCTGAAATATGGTAATTAATTTCTTTAGCTATCACATTGGAACCACATGATCCTTCAGGTCTATATTCCTTTTGTAAATATTCATAATTATCTCTGGTAAATGTGTTTCCAGGTCAGAAGATAATCAAGTTACAAATGCTTGTGACAAGCTTTTCGTATTATTTGGTGCAGAAATACTGAAGAGGATACCTGGCCGTGTATCCACAGAAGTAGATGCAAGGTGTGTGTCTATCAATAGATATCTACTTCTAATAGGGATGCCTCCTCTTGTTTGAGCATATGTTTCTTTCCTGCAGATGCCCATAGGGGCCTCTCAATTTCCCTATAATAACTACCTGCTCATTCTCTTTCACGACTGCATGAAAATGTTGTACTATAGCTATATGGTGAAGAGCTGACTTTTCAAGAACAGCCCTGTCTTTAAGAATTTGGATTGTTGTGTTACTGGTGGATATTTTTTGCTTCCCACTACCTCTGATATGTTTGCTTTTGTTGTAATTCTATTTTTCTAAATTGTATGTTATATATTATGTCTAGTTTCAACTGTTTGTCAGAAAGACAGAATATAAACTTTAAAAATAAAAAGGCAGCATAGAATTGGTAGAAAAGATTGCATCCTGTGTATACATACTACAAAGCTGTAATGGATTTTCACTATAATTACAGATATATGTATGACTTACACAATGATGTACATTAGTATGGGGAAACATAAATCGTTGTGTTGGTAAAATGCAGTGAAGTAGTTCTTTGGATCCAAGTTGGAGACAAGACATACGACACTCTGTTTGGAATTGTGAGTTGCAGTGATGCAGTAATGATTTGATTGTAAAATTACATTATATAACAAAATTGGGGGGGGGGATCTGTTCCTGGATTGAAAGTGTTATTTCCTGTTTAATGTTGTGGTTCTTACTTTGAAAGTAATTGTTATACTCAATAAACTTTGCTTTTGTGGCTGCCATAAACTATGTTGAATTGCTTGAGATTCGATGAGATATTCATTGAAAAACTATAGCAAAATGTGCTACAGGATGCCCCACAAAAACTAAGTTTTTGCAGTTTACTAAACCTTTTCCATGTTTTTATGATAGAACCAATTAGGATATTACATTTATCACCTAGGAACAAAAATCGTGTTACATAGTATTATACTCATGTCCACAAGCTCCTTTTTCCTAAGGATCAGTGCTGACATAAATAATATAGGACAAAAATTGATTACTTGTAATTTTCAAAATGTTTATTTCAAAGATTGTCTTTTGACAAAGAAGGCATGATTAAAAAGGCCAAACACTTCATAGATCTTTATAAGGAAGCTGGAATTGGTAAAGATCGGATCCTGATCAAGCTATCATCAACGTGGGAGGGCATTCAGGCTGGCAAGTAAGTGTATATGTAGTATATTAATTTTATATTTTAGTTATAAAATGCCCTGTTGATTGCCTGATGTCATACTTCTTTGCCTGTTTAGATGGAATCCCCTTAATTCCTTCTGATATTAAAATGTGGTCAGTGTATTTTTCCAGAACTGGAGTTTTAAGTAGACTGATAGTGACAAATCATTAATATTATGCCTGTTATAAAAATGACATTATGAAAATCTTATACGTGTTGTAAAATTATGTACCCATCCTCATGTCATCAGTTTAAATGCCTTTGGTAGGAATGTAATTTCACTGGGGCTCTCTTTTTATAGGATTCTTGAAGAGCAACATGGAATCCATTGCAACATGACCCTGTTGTTTTCCTTTGCTCAGGCTGTTGCCTGTGCAGAAGCAGGGGTCACCCTAATTTCTCCATTTGTTGGACGTATTTTGGATTGGCATGTTGCAAATACAGACAAAAAAACCTATGAGCCCTCAGAGGATCCAGGTAACTGCCTAATTTTTAAAGAATAATTAAAAATAAACATCTCAACACAAACAAGTTGAAATGTACATTCTTTTGAGAAAAAAACACATCCCCAAACTATCGGGTAATTCTTCCTAATAAATTTTTATGCCCATATTTCCTTATGTAGGAGTGAAAAGTGTCACTAAAATCTACCAATATTATAAAAAGTTTGGCTATAAAACTATTGTGATGGGAGCATCTTTTCGAAACACTGGAGAAATCAAAGCGCTGACTGGCTGTGACTATCTCACCATTTCACCCAAGCTTCTAGGAGAGCTCAGTAAAGATACCAGTAAACTAACTCCAGCATTAAGTGTCAAAGATGGTAAGTTTCCTTCCTGGTTAACAAATACAACAGTGTTAAATACAGTCTGAGTATGCCTTAGTCAAAATGCTTGGGAACAGAAATGTTTGGGATTTTTCCAAATTTGGAATATTTACATATACATAATGAGATTTTTGGAGAGGAGTCCCAAGTCGAAACACAGAATTCATATACGTTCCATATATAATTTTATATGCTATACTTTTTTTCTGCATGGAACCAATTTTTATGTACATTGAACCAGCAGAATGTAAAGGTGTGACTATGTCAGCCACCTGTGTGGACCATTTTGGATTGTGAAGCATTTAAGATTTCTATTTAATACCCAGCCTGTATTATTCCAGTAAAAATTGTTCAGAAAAATAATCTGGCAGCGATCCTTTAATGTGTCATCAAATGTAATGTGAACTATTACTTGGAAAGCACTTTAAATTGGTTTGTCGGTTGACTGTGACTGCAAAAGTCTTCACAGTATTCTTGAGGACTTTGGTTTTTGTCAATCTTGTAGAGGCTGGAAGCAGAAAGACTGTAATTAAGTATTGCATACTGATGAAAAATTATGAAGGAGGGGGATCCAGAAGTTGATATCAAGTTCAACTTAATTTTTGCTATGTGTTTTCAAGTAGCTTATCATAGGGTTTTCTTGGCAGGATTTATTCATAAGTTTGCCATTGCCTTCCTTTGAGGCTGAGAGAATATAGTTTGCTCATAGTTACCCACTGAGTTTCCATGGCTGAATGATCATGCCGTCCTGATGTTCTTGAGTTGCAGTCCCATCACTAGATTGTATCTAATCAGCCTAGCATAAGAGAGGTCATGGGAGTTAAAATCTAGTTATAGCCACATAGTATCTTTATACATTCTGTGTATTCAGCTGGGCTGCTATATTGATTACATGGATCTTTTAACTAATTCTATTTTAATATAGGTTGTCTTATCCAATTTATATACTTGGTTTATGTAATGTATTATTGTTTTCATGTTGATGTATTTTATTTTATGTATTATGTATTTTATGTATGGCATCAGGTATACCTAAGTTGACAAAGTGGATGTGTTCTTGGACTTCTGTTACAGGAACTATGGTATCAGAAGTAAAAATAACATGGAGGGAACAGAGAAAGGTTCCTCCCCTTTGGGGAGATAGAGCAGGGTATTATTATTATTATTATTATTATTATTATTACTATTATTAACAACAACAACAACACTGCAAAAAACCCCACAGGAGTTCAACAGGTTTCGGCAAACTATCAATCAATGCTTTATCAGCATACTTAGACAGCTGGTGGAACAGGCTAATCTGCTTTCCCCCTTTCTTCCTGTTTTGTTCTTCACATTTGCTCTGATTCTGGGGTAGCTTTTACCCTATTGGTTGTAGCCATTTACCAACAGTTGCAGTAGGATCACTTAAGACTAGAATCACAGGCCAACTTGGTTGCATTGTTTACTGCTGTAACCCAACACTACAGTGTCTTTCTCTAGCCTTCCTTCAATGCTGTTGAATTCTTTTGGCTGGGTAGAAGACAAGGGGGTAGGGAACCAGACTAACCTCCCATAAAAGACTTTGTGAAAATGAGATTATTTGTCATTGGCTTTAACTGAGATATGCCTATACTTAGAACAGTGTGTTTACTTTTGTGCTTATGTTGCTAAATAATAAATACCATTTCCTGCTGTGAGGCTACAAGTAGTAGTAGTAACAAAATAAAACATGTTCTTCTAATTGTGAATACCTGGCATGTTTCTCGTCTGTTACTTGTGGATAAATATTGTTTGTGGGTGCTGATGATGACAGCCACAGATGCAGATGGAACGTCAGGAGAAAATGCTACTAGAACACTGCCATACAGCCCAGAAACCACGTAACACTTCCGTGATTTTGGCTGTTAAAGCCTTTGACAATAAATTGTATTATTGTTAGTCAAATCACAATGGAGGGGCAATTCTATGGACTATACATTGTATAGAATAGATGTTAGGCAGCTGAATTTGAAATGTAATAATTTCATGTACTTTTCAATGAAGCTCAGGCATCCAAACTGGAGAAAATCCATCTAGATGAGAAGACATATCGCTGGCTTCATAATGAAGACCAAATGGCTGTGGAGAAGTTGTCTGATGGAATCAGGAAGTTTGCTGCTGATGCAGTCAAATTAGAGCAGATGATAAAGGTAAAATGGTTGGGGGAGGGGCAGATCAGTTAATCATTCCAGGTTGTTCTTGTTATTCGCCATCAAGTCAACACTGATTTACAGCGATGCTTTGAAAGAAAGATCTCCAAGGGCCCTGGTCATCAGAAGCCCGGCTCAGGTTTTGCAAATTCAGGGCTGTGGCTTTCTTTATTTAATGAATCCATCTGTAATGTCATCTTCCTCTGTCATACTGTCTATCATAGTTTAGGGGCAACTTAGGGACCATGAAAGCATGGTTGATAGGGGTTTGTTACCCTGTCGATTGGGAAGCAATTAGCTGACAGTTCCACTGTTTCTCCCTGTTGCACTGGAAGAGAGCACACAGCAGAGGGTTAGCAGTCAGCTGCTTCCTGGGTGATGGGGAACAGACTCCTGTCAACTCACAGTGGCTGCTTCCTAGTAAATGGAGATTGGGAAATGAGGGGGCTAGGATGGAGTTGCCAACAGGATTTCAGCCAACAAGTAGTTGGACCAAAATGTAATTTCCAGTCCATACTGGAAGACAACCATGGAATCAGTGATATTTACATAATTATTAGCTTACCCTTTAGCAATTTATTAGCAACTAGCTATAGGCCTTGGGAGTGGTTGACAGTAGTTTGGAACAGTTAAGTTTCATGAAATTTTTAATCATAATCTCAACAACTTTAGTAACTGGCTAATTTTTAAATGTATTTATCAAAGGCTGTAATGCAATGTCTGTAAAATGTGAGCTTAAGAGTTAGGATTTGAAACTTTCAGTACTTCAGATCAGTGGAGGGAAAAGTTTGGAGTGCCCCTTATGTAACCTTTAAGTCCCCTCTAGTGGTCCCAAGGCAAAAAGAAAAATTGTGAAAAAATATCCATTTAAATGGTATTTGGAGCCATGTTATGCCTCATTCAAGGAGAAAAGGAAAGAAACAGAAGTTGCTGCTATTTCTTCAGCATAAGCAATCAGTGTATATGTGCGTGTGTGGTGGGGGGGAGGCTTTCCCCAAATCCAGAACAGGTGAAAATAGCTCTGAATCCTCCAATGCTACCTGCATCTTCTTTATACAAAATTACTAGAATCCAAAAGGACTTGAGCATTGAATTTGTTTATTTTGCCTATTTATAAAACTACTAGTTTAAAGGTGAAGCAATATTAATTTTGCAGTTATTTCCCTTCTGTACTGATACCTACAAAATTCTTATTGATGATTACATCGTAAATAACCATTTGTTTAAGATACATGATCATGGCACTCATTACACTTTTATACTTTTCTTTTAGGAACGAATGTTCAAGTCTGCAAATGGGAAATAGACACGCACTTTCTGGATGCTATATGGATGTACAAATATCTACATGTTGCAGATGAAAGATTTTATATATTCTGGCATTTTTATAGCAAAAAGAAAAGATCCTAAATGTGTGCAGGATTTTTAAATATAGATACATATTGCAGAAATCCAATGATTACAAACTGCAAAAGATAAGGACCAATTCTTTGGAAGTGTTTTCTTCATGGTGATATTAGTAATAAAATAAAAAGTTCTGATATGTCAATGCTTTCATTTATTTGTAGTAAGTGTGGTGTTTGACTTGAATATTTTCTCATGGTCTATTACATAAATTTACATATAACTATGTAGCATAAGTGCTAAGCACCCACAAAGATGGGTAACAGTATGCTGGCATGTATCCTGATGCATATTGGCTCTCCCTAGCTGGTGGCTCAATGCGTAATGGGAATGATATTACTCACTTTGCTGGCTTCCCTATGAAGTAATGAAACTGCACCCCCTCCCCTTTACTGGATACAGATATTACACAATTCCCCAGTTCATCTGTTTGGGGTGCTTTGATTATGTGTTCCTGCATGGCAGGGGTTTGGACTGGATGACCCTTCCAACTAATTCTTGGAAACATAAGTCCTCTTATGAATACTGAAGTCTCCAACAGGAGTCTGGCCGGTATTACACCTAAACAGCATAAATATGTAGGGAATAAATCTTATGCAATATTAACAAGTAGATCCACTGCAAGCCCACTGATTTTGTTGGGACACACTGCCATGTCCCTCTATTACCAAATGGCCCCAAAACCTCCAGGGTCTCTTTATCCAATCAAAAACTGGAAGCAAGTAGATGGTTCAACAGGTTTATTTGATCAAATCACCCTGCTGGGTAAACAGAGGAAAGTGTCACAAAAACTGAAATGCTGTTCAGTTTTAAAGTCAACACATTGACAGGCGATTTTCTCCAATTCATGCCTCATCTCTGTCTCTTCCCTTCTGGTGCCAGCTCTTAGCAGTATTCCTATGCCTGCTTTTCCTCAGCAGCCGATTTCCCCTCCTGCATCTGCTTGTTACTATTAAAAGCAAGGGACCTGTAAAAGTTTTGAAATGTCAGCAATCTGAAACTAATTCTACCTCCTTGGTCTATGTTCAACAAAATGCACTTCTTGAAATGCTCCATCGACTTACAACGGGAAAATAGGACAGAGGAGTTACAAAGTTAGTGACAGTGCATTGTCGAAGGCTTTCATGGCCGGAATCACTGGGTTGTAGGTTTTTTTGGGCTATATGGCCATGTTCTAGAGGCATTCTCTCCTGACATTTTGCCTGCATCTATGGCAAGCATCCTCAGAGGTAGTACCTTAGTGACAGTGCTTCATAGTGAATCTGTCCCAGTCTCCTAAAAACTATCTAATTCCCTTTGTGCTGGAGATTTCTCATGGCGGGGGGGGGGGGGG